TTCTTTGTCTAGGTTGGCGTGCAAGTAGGCGGTCTGCACGTCAAACTGGTGCACCTCCAGCCCTAGCAGGGATGCAATGACCAGGGCGCTTTTGACGCTTTCTGTTCTTACGGTGGGGGAATATGTGTCAGTGTAGTCCTCAGGAAACCTTTGAGCAAACCCCTGGGCGACTAATCTTGCTTTGTATAGGCTTTGGCCACCCTCTAGGTTCTTGATCTTGAAGATCCATCGAGTGCCTATTGCGTTCTTGCCCTCCGGGACCTTGGATGGGGTGTAGACTTTTAGCTTCCTCAGGCTATCCAGTTCTTTGGCCATGGCTAACTCCCATTTTGTCCTTTCTTCCTGGGGCAGCCTTAACACTTCCTCGTAGGAGTTTGGTGTGATATGATTCGTATGCACGTGCATCACGTAATCATTTAACCTCCTGGGTAGCTGATTTCTGGTTGACCTGACCGGCCTGTCTACTGTCTGTTCTGTATCGTGTAGATGTCTGGCCTCTCTTTGTGTCAGTGAGTCTATACTTATCTTGGGATGGTTTTCTTTCCATCCCTCAACCCTAACGCCTTGGAGATTGGGCTTGGGCCTGCCCTCTTCCTGTCTATTCACTGTCTCGTCTTTGCTTTGAGCTTGCTCAGCAGGACTATCCTCTCGCTCGGTGGGTACCTCGTTTAAGTGTATTCTGGACCAGTTGGCTTGTTCGTGGAATGCCGCTGTCCTAGAGACCACAAATCTATTATTGTTGTCCACAAACCTGAAGCCCTTGGTTCCCGGTTCGTATCCCATAAACCTCAGCCTTCTGGATACCTTATCCCCTTTCTTGCGTAGCTGCTTGGGTATGTGTACATCAGCAGTTACACCGAACACATGCAAGTGTGCTATTTGTGGCTTCTTATTATACATGATCTCATATGGTGTTTTGTCTATCACACTGGACCATGTTCTATTCAGTGTGTAATTGGAGTAGACCAGGGCTTCAGACCAGAAGTGTTGGCCAATGCCCGCGTCTTCTAAGGCGCACCTGACCATCGTTTGCAGCGTGGAATTCCGTCGTTCTGCGACCCCGTTTTGAAAGGCGGAAAATGGGGACGACGTAAAGTGAATCACGCCTTTGGATCTGAGCCAATGGGAGAAGTCCTTGGATAGGAACTCAGACCCCCTGTCGGTCATGATTTGTTTGACCTGTTTGTTGTTTTGGGTTTCTACTCTTTTATAAAACTCCTTGAATTTTTGGAAGGCCTCATCCTTTTTTCTTAAGGTGTAGACGAAGCCATATCGACTATAGTCGTCCACTATAGTGAGAAAGTACCTTTTCTTATAGTTTATGGATGGCCTTAGGGGCCCTACCAGGTCCATGTGCACTAAGTCGAATATTTGTTTGGTGGCACGTAACGACTTCTTGGGTCTGGGTTTCACCTTTAGTTTTGAACACTTGCACACCGAGCACTCGAGGTAGTTTTTACAGTTTTTTATTTTGACGCCCTCGGTACAATTGGTCATTTTCTGTACAACGGGAAAACTGGCGTGTCCTAGCTTCCGGTGCAGCAGATGGGCGCAGTCATCATGCATTGGCCTGCCTATTGAGGGTTTCCTTTGGGTGTGTTTGTTGTGTTGTATTTCTAGTGTCGTGTTATCATCGCTATCTGTCTTTCTCTCGTCTACCTGTTCACCCTCTGTCCTGTTTTGGTCAGTGCCCTCTGTATTCTCTGAGTTGGTGTTTACACTGTGGGTGTTGTTCTCATGGAAAGTTATGTAAGGTAACCCTTGGTTAATTGTTACTCTTCCTACGTCTTCCCCATCCTTACTAACTTTGACATTGCCCTTGGTGAAGGTCACCTCAATCCCAGATTCCTTGCTAAGTTTTATTGCGGCTAGGATGTTGTGGGGTATCTCCGGGACTAACAGTACCCCCTCTATTTTCCCTAAGCCTGGTAACATGACTATTCCTTTGCCCGTTACTCTGACCTGGTTTTGATCTGCGACTTTGATTGAAAATTCCTCCCTCTTGAAATGTGAGAGTAGTTTCTGGTTGTAGGTGGTATGGTTGGAGGCTCCCGAGTCCAGGAGCCATGAGCTGGTGCCTTTGTCTTGGTGTGTGGTGTGTGTGTGTTCCCCTATCCCATATAGAGATCCTGTCCTGCTGTCGCGTGAGCTGTCTCTGTTCCCCCTCTTATCCCTGGGAATGGGTGAGTCTCTACGCCTATATCTTTCTTCGGATGTGTGTCTTTCCGTCTGCTTGTGCCTATGCTCTGGCCTGCCTCTCTCCCTATAGCTCTTGGGGCAGTCCCTCTTGATGTGTCCCCTTGACCCGCAGATGTAGCACTCTGGTGTGTTGTGTTGTTTCTCTTGGAAGACTACCCTCTTCTCACTCTTATGTTCTCTGGGAGGGCCGGGGCGGCTCCTCCTCAGATTGTCTTCGGCTATGAGCTTGTTGGATAGCTTCTCTACTGATAACATTCCTAGGCTGATGGTGTCTAAATGTGTTAAGAAGCTATTCCATGAATAATCTAAAGAGTTGATTATTACGCTTTTCATTATCTGGTCGGAAATAACTTCTCCCCTAAGGTGCAGCTCTGCCCTGGTACCGCTCAAGGACACTAGGTGTTCACTCATGGGGGTCCCTGGCTTGAGCCTGGCGGAAAAGAAATCCTTGGAAATTTGGGTGGTGGTGGACACACTCTCACTGTAAAACAACCCAAACATTTTTCCTATAATTTCTGACACGGTTAGGTTATGGCCTATACAGTGGTAAATTGTGGGGGATATACTGGCAATTAAGAGGTAGAACGCCTTATGGTGCATGCAATCCAGTTCTAAAGTCCATGGTCTCTCTGGGGGGTCATTAATAAAATGAGACATATTTTCTTTCAGGAAAATAACCTGGAGCTGCTGTGACCACTCTAGGATATTACCCCCATCCATCCTCAACTTGGGAAAGTCAACGGGTAAGTTTCCAGTACCACTAGTAAAATTACTTACTGCTGGCTGCTGTCCATGGTTTCTTATGTGCCTATAGGAACAGTAAGGCATGGGCACGCTTGGCGGCAATTTAAAAGTCCCGCTTTGTAATTTTTTTCTTTTTTCTTCCTCTAGGCGGAAGAGCGCATGCGCGAAGTCCATTTCAGCTCCGCCGTCGTCGAGGAAGGACCTGTTTGCCGTAGCTCCGCTGTAGAGGCCTCTGCCGGTCGGGTAGGCCTCGGCTTCGGCCTTGGGGGTCCAGGTGTGCTCCGGAAGTCGTCGTCCAGCGGCTGCATCTCCGGAGCGAAGATCCTGGCGGCGTTGGGGCTCCGGCGACGGCTGTAAGTAGCTGCCCCAATCCACGCGGTCCGGGGTGTGCGGCCTGGGCGATCGGAGGCGCGGTGTCCCTGGGGTGCGTAGGTGGGCTGGCGAGCAGTCACGGGCGTCGGTGGCTCTCGGGTGGGCGCTTCGTCGCCCCTCTCCCCGTCTTCCCTTTTGTTTTGGCCCCTCCGGCCTCTCCTTAGTGATTTTGAGGCCTGGGCCGAAGGCGGCGGCAAGGGTCTTCATGGCCCTATCCACTTGCCGCTCGCTGGGGGTGTACCAGGGGTCGGAGTCGGATTCGGTCCCCTCCCCCTGGTCACTTTCATCGTGGGTCATGGTCCGGCATTTTTCGCGCGCCGGCCATTTTGAATTCTGTCCATCGATTGGTTGGCGGTCGGCCATCTTGTCCGACCACGTGGACAAAGATGGCCGCCGTTTCAAAATTTGAGCGGGGCTTTGGGGCTCGGTGGCCGTTGGAAGTGCCCCTTTGGGCGATCCACTCACCGAGTCCAGCTCTTCGAGTTCGGAGTCCGAGTCTTCTTCGCCCCTTGTCACCTCGCGGTCGATTATGAAGCTCCGCAGGTCGGTGAGGAGGTTCTTGTCGCCGGCTCGCTCCTTCAACAGCTGCAGGACGTCGAGTCGCAGCTTCTCTTCTTCTTGGTCGTGGTGGGCCCTTTTCCCTTTTTCGATCTCCCCCTTTTCTTCCATCGCGGTGGCTTTGGGGGTGGTTGAGGTTCCTGCTTTCCCTGGTGAGTCCGATGGGTTGCCTTCCCGTTGCTTCGGGGGTGTCGCCATCCTGCAGGTGGGTATGGGTTCTTGTCTTGTGTCTCGGGATCTCTGGGCCTTACCAACCATCCTCTGCTACCAATTTGTTACAAGGTTGGTGGATCAGGCCCAATGAAGAGACTTGAGTCATTATATAAAATATCTTTCTTTTATTTGCAGGTTCATCATATCATCATTTGGTTACATCAAGATCTGGGGAACATGAAGGAGTGTGCCCACCTTTTATACCTGTGGGCGGGGAATCAGGTAAGGAGGAGTCTATGGGAGGAGCTGACCAGGTGGGTGTCTGGGTTAACCCTTTCACTACTGAGCTATAGCTGATCCCTGGTATAGTCAGAGCATTTACACCTGACAGAATTAGAATCTATGTGTTTATTCTCTCACAACATGAGAGACAGAAAGGTCCCTTCTTCTGCATTCATACTGCTTCATTAGGTCTCGATTTTTCACAGTGGACTGAAAGACTTTACAGTCTATTTTTTTGTATCCTCACACTCCAGAAGTTCCCGTTCTCATTTCTCCTAGAGAGGAAGAAAGATTTTAAAAAGTTTTGTCTTGAAGAGATGCATCAGGGAGATGCACCTCCTTTTGCTTATTTTGCTCACCAGAAGTCTCCCTTTTGAAAATTCTTGTAATTTAGCACAATATCCCAAGACATTTCCACTTTCAACATCTTGCAATTCATTATGTAACTTCTAACGACAGCTATACAAGCTTAACTGCAAAAGATTTGCTACTTAAACTGTTCTATTCATAAGGTATATTTTTTAGCATCATTTGTTCTTTGGTAATTTATATTTAGCTATAACTCCTATAAATCTTTCCTGATTTATAGCTTTCCCGTATAATGCCTTGAATTGTGCCTGCTCTCAAAAGTTAATTTTTTATTGGGGGTTTAGGCTTTCTTTATTATGATCCAATTGAAAATGCAATAAACATGAAGAAAGAAAATTTATCTGAAATGGCATTGCTGACCTTCAAATGACAGTAATTACAAAATCCACTATTCATAATTAAACCACCACATGCTTCTATACTGTTTGGATCCGTTTATGTGAGTTAAGATTACTGCTCATAATAAAACCTTTTCCACACACCATACATTTATAACGCCTGTCCCGTGTGGATCCTTTTATGGTGATTAAGATACGTCTTTGTAGAAAACCTCTTTCCACATTGCATACATTTATACTTCTCCCCTGTGTGGGTCTTTTTATGAGTAATAAGATTACTACAGCCAGTAAAGGATTTTCCACACTCCATGCATTTATACGGCTTCTCCCCTGTATGGATCCTACTATGGTAAACAAGCTCACAGTTCTTAATAAAGCTCTTTCCACACTCCATGCATGTATGTGGCCTCTCCCCTGTGTGGATCTTTTTATGGAAAATAAGGCCGCTGCCCTGAGAGAAGCTCTTTCCACATTCCATGCATTTATAGGGCTTCTCTCCTGTGTGGATCCTTTCATGGGTCTTAAGATATCTCTTTGTAGAAAAACTCTTTCCACATTCCATGCATTTATAGGGCTTCTCTCCTATATGGATCCTTTCATGGGTCTTAAGATTCGTCTTCGCAGAAAAACTCTTTCCACATTCCATGCATGTATAAGGATTCTCCCCTGTGTGGATCTTTTCATGGGTGTTAAGATACATCTTTGTAGAAAAACTCTTTCCACATTCCATGCATGTATAAGGATTCTCCCCTGTGTGGATTGTTTCATGGGTTTTAAGAGACCTCTTCGTGGAAAAACTCTTTCCACATTCCATGCATTTATAAGGCTTCTCCCCTGTGTGGATTCTTTCATGGGTCTTAAGATTCGTCTTCCTAGAAAAACTCTTTCCACATTCCATGCATATATAAGGATTCTCCCCTATGTGGATCGTTTCATGGGTTTTAAGAGACCTCTTCGTGGAAAAACTCTTTCCACATTCCATGCATTTATACGGCTTCTCCCCTGTATGGATCCTACTATGGTAAACAAGCTCACAGTTCTTAATAAAGCTCTTTCCACACTCCATGCATGTATGTGGCCTCTCCCCTGTGTGGATCTTTTTATGGAAAATAAGGTCACTGCCCTGAGAAAAGCTCTTTCCACATTCCATGCATTTATACGGCTTCTCTCCTGTATGGATCCTTTCATGGATCTTAAGATATCTCTTTGTAGAAAAACTCTTTCCACATTCCATGCATTTATAGGGCTTCTCTCCTGTATGGATCCTTTCATGAGTCTTAAGATTCGTCTTCGTAGAAAAACTCTTTCCACATTCCATGCATGTATAAGGATTCTCCCCTGTATGGATCTTTTCATGGGTGTTAAGATACATCTTTGTAGAAAAACTCTTTCCACATTCCATGCATGTATAAGGATTCTCCCCTGTGTGGATCGTTTCATGGGTTTTAAGAGACCTCTTCGTGGAAAAACTCTTTCCACATTCCATGCATTTATAAGGCTTCTCCCCTGTGTGGATTCTTTCATGGGTCTTAAGATTCGTCTTCCTAGAAAAACTCTTTCCGCATTCCATGCATTTATAAGGCTTCTCCCCTGTGTGGATCCTTTCATGGGTCTTAAGATTCGTCTTTGTAGAAAAGCTCTTTCCACATTCAACACATATATATTTCTCCCCTGTGTGGCTCTTTTTATGGCCAATAAGGCGACAAGAGTCAATAAAGCATTTTCCACACTCCATACATTTATACGGCTTCTCCCCTGTATGGATCCTACTATGATAAATAAGATAACAGTTCTTAATAAAGCTCTTTCCACACTCCATGCATTTATATGGCTTCTCTGTTGTATGGATCCGGGAATGCGTAGTGAGAGAAGTTCTATAATTGAAACTCTTTCCACATTCCATGCATTTATAGGGTTTCTCTCCGGTGTGGATCCTCTTGTGACATTTAAGATAACACTTCCTACTAAAGCTCTTTCCACACTCCATGCATTTATATGGCTTCTCTGTTGTATGGATCCGGGAATGCTTAGTAAGAGAAGTTCTATAAGTGAAACTCTTTCCACATTCCATGCATTTATAGGGTTTCTCTCCTGTGTGGATCCTCTTGTGACATTTAAGATAACTGTTCCTACTAAAGCTCTTTCCACACTGCATGCACTTATGCGGCTTTTCTCCCATGTGGGTTCTTTTTTGAGATGTACAGGACCCATTTTTATGAGGAAGAGACTGCGTCCATTTGTAATTTTTTCCATTGTCTCTACATATATAATCTTCTCCATTGGTTTCGGTTTGATAGTATTGATTTACATCTAATTTGTTTATGAATAGTTTTGTACATTTCCCAATATATTTCGTTTTTAGTTGTCCTTGTTCGGTCACGAAGGCTTTCGTTGATGCAGAAGATGAACTTTCCTGATTGCAATTATTTGACTGGTTTCTCTCATGGCTTTCTATTTCTATTAGAATTGTAGGGTTCTTCATACTGTATGAACGACTGATCATTTCGAATAGTTCTCTGGAATCTTCATCTTCCTCCCCATTATTACCTTCACAAGAAAAGAAAAATGCAAATAATGTTAGGGACAAAGAGCAAAGCAGGGGAAGACTGAATATAATGAAAAACAAACAGCTTCAATCTTAGATACAGAATTTTGGAAGATACATTTACATTTCTATGGCAAGAGAAAAACCATGGATTAAATATCAAATTCTCCAAATTTCTAAAGAAATGGAAGGATTTGGTTTCCCAATTTGAAATTGGACTTTGTATTCTGCGGTGTGGTTTGTATAAGAAGTGGGAGTTGCTCAGATATAAAGCGAATTTTAGAAGTAGGAAGGCATGACAGTAGTTTGGGTGCCATGGATGTTTGTGATACAACAAATTAAATCAATCTAGATTTCAAAACCATGTTACAAATACCACATTGAGAATATGAGGCAGATATAAACTCAGGCTGTGCCCAAAACACCCTAATGGCTTTTAGCAGAAAAGAAGCTGCAAGGGTAAACAATGGATAACATGTACAGAGGCATTAGAACTTGAGCTGTGGAAATACCAAATGAAATCAAGAATGGAAAAACCATAGAGTTCTCAACTATAGTTCTCTATTGTTCAACAACATAAAGCTGTCAGACTTCGATGCTATCTCAAAATAAATGAATTTTCAAACTGCCAATCTTTAAGGAAATCTTTTCTTTAATTGAGCACAGCCACCGGATCATGACTCGATGCGGACAAGACTGACCTTTTGCCCCCCCAATCCCTCCTTTTCTGATCCCCAAATCTCTGCTTCTCATTGGCTATCTTCCAAGTCATTCTTCAGACTTCTTGGCTCGTCATTTCCCAAGAATGTCCCCCCTCCTTATTTCCACGACAACCCGACTTCAAAGGGATTTAGCAGGCAAAAGTTCAGAGCTTATCTCTCTCTCCTCTGCTCTCTATGCCAGCGTTGAAGCGCTGACAAAAGCAGAATTTGAATCTCAAGTTGTGTAGAAAAGATGAATATGTAATTGCTAAAACCTCTAAATATCAGAGGAATATGAAAATCAATAGAAAAATATTCAAAAGTGTACCTCAAACTATTATTGGAAATGTGGACAAGATAAAGGATCATTTTGTAATAATAAATAAAAGGACAAATTAGAAAGGAGGAAACAATGATGTAACCTTAGAAAGAGGGGGGAAATATAACTATTACCGTACTTTGTGTCTTCTCCTTTTTTAATTTTATCATACTTTTTTCTTATTCATTAATCATATTACACTATCTTTTTTATTTTATTTTCAAAATTTGTATGTTTTATTCTGATAATAATTCTTTTATATTCTCACCCAAAGAGGCCACGTTCCTGTGATTTTCCAACATGACTTCCCGATACAGTGCTTTTTGGTCAGCATCCAGCTGAGACCACTCCTCTTCGGAGAAATACACAGCCACCTCCTTAAAGGACATGAGAGCTTCCTGAATGAGAAGGAAACAGAAGAAAAATCAGCAGTGAAAGGAAGCAATCCCACTCTTTGTCTGGGTCTGTCTGTCCCCATGCATCAACAAGACTCAGCATCTGGAGAGAATCAACTGGTATGGGCCATGGAATTCCCACCTATCACTCACTCCAATCCACCCAGTGTTTGCAGAAGAAAGTGTGTGTTTTTGTGTGTGTGTGTGTGTGTGTGTCTTTACCATTTACATAAAAGGCTTGTGGTATCCCCAGAACAAACAATCCATGCTCAAAACCTTTATTAAAGTTGTTTGAGTGGCACCCAGGGATTTACATGGGTGTCATCAATGGACAAAGACACACAAGATCTGTTTCTGCTCCTCAGACAAGGAATCCACTCCTTGTACTCCAACCCAATGGCTGAAGAAAAGAAACCTGCTTAGAAAAGAACATTTCTCATCCTTTCCAAAGCGGAATTGTTGGCCCAAAATTCCAGGCACAAATTGGAGTATTAGATTTAAAGGCTGAAGGGCTTTGATGTGGCCAATCTCTTTGGATTTTAAGAGTCTTAACCTGGTGCCATTATTTTTCTTATGACTGGTTATAAACAAGGCATTTTAGAAACTGTAAATGTGCCAATGTGATCCTTTCAGTTATTATTGAGTAGCTTTGCACAATTCCATGTCAAGGAATTACTTATAGGATCACTATTCATCAAACGTTCATATTGTGTACATTTTATTTTTTATTATCCCTCTCTTACTTTTGGAGCTTCAACCAGAATTTCAGCACCACCATAAAAAGGAGTCAAATTCGTTTTGTTCTTCCCTGTGAGGGAGACAGAAATTTTAAATGGAAAATTAACAAAATAGCAGGACACATTCTACAGAAGAGAAGAGACAGAGAGGGTAAGACAGCGGGAATCTTTCTTGGGAATGGGTGGACTTTTGATTACCATCTGAGATGTCATCACTTGCGAATTCATGATAGACCCTCTTGGAAAACAACTCCTGATGGGGATTTGATGGATTCCTCTTTCTCATAGGTTCTCTGGTCTGCAGAGTGAAAGACTAGAAATAAGAGGAAGGAGAAAAGAAAAATGCATCACATAACATGAACTGGATTCTTGTTCTCAAAAAACAACTTCAATGCCCCAATATCCATCAATGAGCCTAGAATGTGCAAGAAAGGAATGGCTGTTTCCAGTCTATGCTCTAGAACGGATAATGAAACAATGTCCTGCAAGAACTAGTGGAACATCTTAAAATATTATGAAGACCAGAGAAGTATGGAAGGGAGGGGTGAGGAATTCAAACACATTCTTTATTCCCTTCTGGACTTCCAAGATGAAGGTCTCTCACCTGCAATTCGACTTCCTCCTTCTGCTCCTCTCTCTGACTCAGGAGGAAGCCTTCCGCCAGGGCCACCACTTGGGAGCTGGTCTCTGCTCCACACTCCCGCACCCAGCTCTTCATCGGCAGGGGCAGAAGGGCCAGGAGCTGCTCTAGAACCACCAGATCCAACATTTGAGTTTTAGTGTGGTTTTGTACTCCCAGACATTGATTATAAAAGTTGTGGAGTTGGCTGCAAAGTCCTCGGGGACCTTCCGCCTCCTGGTATTGGATGTTTCTGAAGCTGCATGTCTGAATCTCTGAACGGATGATGGTTTCCTTCTCCAGGATCTTCTGCCCAGTTCTTGCCCAGATCAACCCACAGCTGCCAGGGTGAACAGCTAAGGGGCCTTTTCCAGTTCCCTCACTTCCTAACACTTCTTTCTGCATTCTTTCTCTGTCCGGTAAGGAAATTCCAGATAGTTGTGAGGAATCATGTGGATCTCCAAACACCTTTCAATTCATAGGACGATTCCTGGAGCTGCAGGATTGATTACAAAAGCTATCCAGAATCTTCTCCTAAGTGTACTTTTTGTTGTTAGGAAGGCTGTTGTGATGACTCTAGTTTCTGCAGCTGAGATGGAAAAGAAAATAAATTCAAATGAGAAGGTTGTGGACTTAACTCCTGAACAACATTCATCCTCATGGGAGTCTTTTTTTTTTTTTTTTAATTTGATTTATATGCTGCCCTTCTCCGGAGACTCAGGGCGGCTTACAATGCGTTAAGCAATAGCTTTCATACTTTTGTATATTTTATACAAAGTCAGCTTATTGCCCCCAAAATCTGGGTCCTCATTTTACCTACATTAGAAAGGATGGAAGGCTGAGTCAACCTTGAGCCTGGTGAGATTTGAACTTGCAGTAACTGCAGACAGCTTATGTTAATAACAGTGCTTTAGTCTGCTGCACTTTTTTTCAAATTTAAATCTGTATTTACCTTATTATTTACCAAATAATTCCCTCAACACTGTCAAACTATTTACTAATTCTGCACTACTATTAATCTTCTCAATGTTCCTATCACTCATCTCCTCCCACTTATGACTGTATGACTGTAACCTTGTTGCTGGTATCCTTACGATTTATATGGACTGTTTCCTGATATGATTTAATTGCTTATTTGTACCCTATGACTATCATTATGTGTTGTACCTTATGATTGACTAATGTATCTTCTCTTTTATGTACACTGAGAGCATATGCAGCAAGACAAATTCCTTGTGCATCCAATCACACTTGGCCAACAAAGAATTCTATTCTATCTATTCTATTCTTACACTTGGGGTTCCTAAAAGATGCCGAAACTCAAGCTTAAGAAACTGGAATGGAATACAGAATTTTTACACGTGTTTCTTGTCCTTCATATTGAGGTGTTTAGGTATTAAGACGTTCATTAAAGATGTTCCTCATTCTTGTCTTAAAGTTGGTATGTTTGTAAGTAACTGGAGCCATGGAGAAGAGATAAGGAGGAAGTTCCAAAACTGGCTTATCCCAAGAAAGAAAAGTTTCTTGGGATAAGGGGGGTCTCAGGGAGGAAAACGAAGAAGACCCCCTAATATTGAATAATACTAAGTGAAATTATCCAGGGAAGGAACAGCATTCAAAGGATGCCGTGAAGATTGAATTCACATCAAATGAAATTGCCCACTTTCTGTTTTTCAGGGTTTGCTCTTGGGGAACAAAGATGGCTTTGTGAACGAAGGCTGGTTCACACAATTTGCCCTGAGCCCAAAGTGGTTAACCAACAAAGTTCACATGAAACACAGGGATTGAAAGAACATACCTTAAAATGGTTTTTCACCCATCCTTTTAAGCCTGGAGGATTTGACCTTAGTTTATTCTTTGTCTCCGGAAAAAGCACAAACGATTTGCAGCTTATATATGCAAAATGGAAAACCAAAGAAAGTACCAGGAAGAGAGTCTTGGTGGCGCAGCGGACTAAAGTGCTGTTAAGTAGCACTTAGCTGCCAGCTGCCTGCAATTACTGCAAGTTCAAATCTCACCAGGCTCAAGGTTGACTCAGCCTTCCATCCTTCTGAGGAAGGTAAAATGAGGACCCGGATTGTGGGGGCAATAAGATGACTTTGTATAAAAAAGAACACGGCTTTGGGGGGTGGGGGGACGAAAGCCCTACTACGCAGGTATATACAAAAGTATGAAGGCTATTGCTTAACTCATTGTAAGCCACCCTGAGTCTCCGGAGAAGTCTCCGGCATATAAATCGAAGCAATAAATAAATAATTTTTAAAAAGGGGTGATAACTAGCGAGAATCCATCTCCAAACAAAAAATAACCAGAAGAAAATCTTATAAAAGCACTAATGTCAGGGAAGAAAGTAGAGAATCTTATTAGTTAATTTGACTTTTGTGCAGCTGGGGCATTTTCGGCCAAATTCCTCTTCATCAACTTCTATCAGGCTCAAAATACTGGATAAATACATTTACAATATGTTTTGGATTTCTATTTCCTAGTTATTTATTCTAATGTTTTCAAGAGGGAGTGTGTGTTGAGAACAATCCTTTAAACAATAAACAGCAATTGAGATAAGATCTATACAAATCGATTTCATAAGAAAATAAATCAACATTTAAAGTTACTGTACAGTAAAACTTCAGCTAGCAGAATCCCATTAATCATCCAGCCCAAAATCCCTTTGGGAACTTGAATAAACAAGCCACCATCCAATACATATGTAGGATTAACACCCGAATGGATAAACCATTTTACAGACTAACATGATCTTCTGAATGATGCAACTCCTACAAACATCTTTCCTGCTTCTTAGCTTAATCCACACTTTTTCAAACACGGCCAAATTGAAAGGTGTGGATTTTAACTCCCAGACTTAAAAGAAGATGGAGAAACAGCCGCCTCATCGGGCACACGGTGCGAATCCTGCCCCTCAGCCCCACTTTTTCACCCGGTCGCCCCTGCAAGGTCTCCCTTCTTTTCCTTTGCGGTCGTGGGGAAGGGAAAGGCTGGGAAGCAGCACCCAGTCCCAGTCCTCGCACATCCGTCCTTGCACCCAGAGCCAGCAGGGGGGCTTCGAGGCTGCCTCCACTCCCCTCAATAAATGGGGAGAAACGCCCCCTCCCCTTCTGGCGACCCCCATTTCTCTCCTTTGCTCCCCCCCAACTCCATGGAACCTGCATGGGAAAGGGCGGCAGGGGAACATGGGACTCCGGAGGAAAACTTGGCCAGTCTCCACGCCCCCCCTCCAGCGCGGGACCCCTTTGCACGGGCAGAGCCGCCACTCACGCAACTCGGGAGTCCCTTGTCGGGATCGGTGTTTCCGCAAAGGCTCCCCGGCAGCCTCTCCGCACCCCACTCACAGCGGACGGAGGAGGCAGAAAGGGAAGCCGCCTCCCCGACGAACTCCAGGCGAAGAGGTCGGCGCATGCTCAGTTCCCACGTGTGTGTAGGACAGCGCCCCCTGGTGGGCTCTGAGCAAAGTGCCAGGATACCCTGAAAGGGCGGGAAAGAGGAAAGTATTTGGAGGGAATGGGAATGAGGAGAGGAGAGGAGAGGAGAGAAGAGAAGAGAAGAGAAGAGAAGAGAAGAGAAGAGAAGAGAAGAGAAGAGAAGAGAAATGAAATTCTTTATTGACCAAGTCAATTCCTTGCACACACAAGGAATTTGTCTTTGGTGCATATGCTCTCAGAGTACATGAGGAGAATAAAATACATTCATCAAGAATAGGAATGGAATAGGAGAGGAGTGGAATAGAATAGGAATAGGAATAGAATTGTAATAGAATAGGACTGGACTGGACTGGACTGGACTAGTACCAGACTAGTACCGGACCAGACCGGACTAGTCCAGACCAGACCAGATCAGACTAGGACCAGTCCAGACCAGACTTCACCACACCATACACCAGACCACACACATCAGAACAGAATAGGACAGGAATAGGAATAGAATAGGATGAACTGGAAGGGACCGTGGAGGTCTTCTAGTCCAGCCCCCTGCTCAAGGAAGAGAACCTATACCATTTCAGATGAGTGACTATCCCGACTCTTTTTAAAAACCTCCAGTGATGGAGCGCCCACAATTACTGCAGGCAAGCTAATCCACTGGTTAATTGTCCTCACTGTTAGGAAGTTTCTCCTTACTTTCAGGTTGCTTCTCTCTTCGATTAGTTAGATTCCAATTTCCAAGTGGAGGGGAAGGGATGATTGGCATGGGAGTAGGAGGAAAGGTTCCTGCCCGAGAAAAGCGGCATCTCCAGAGGCAGCAGTCTCTCCATCTTCCTCTCCTTCCTGTCCGGAATCATCTGTGGAGATGGAGAAAAATCTCTCTCGAGGATTTGTACTCGCTTCCCTCAAGAACAGTTGAACTGAAGTGTTCAGAAATTGGAGGGTGGCCTCAAACGGAGCCAAATCCTGTCCGAAACGGGCAAGCGGTCAGAAGATGAGGAAGAGGAGGCTCTCTGGGAAGCACAATTTGTATCTTGCGGTTGTTGCAAACTCCAGCCTGAAGGGGAGGACGATGGGGCTGACGGGACACAGGGAGGGAAGACACAAGAAAATGGAAATTTCTATCGTGTGTTTGTTCCCTAGTTCTGTATATACACCTGCATTTGTCAAATTCTTGGCTCTGGGTGCCTAAGAATAATTGGAAAGACTCAGTGAGGGGCTGCTTATGACAAAAGAAATGATTCTGATGAACAAGAAAACCAATTCCATAATGGGGAAAAGCTGAAACTTGTGGAAGTTCCAGAAATTTTACCTCACAATGAGGCTACTTGGAGGACAAATGAAGCGGGGGCTGGGAATGACATATCATCTGTGACTGGAAAAAAGGGGGAACTGCAAAATGATGGAAACAGATTATGGAAAAGAGAATATAAAATTAAAATACCATTTTAATTGCAATTGGGCTGGGATGACTTTTTGTGGTATGGTAGAAATAAGATACATACATATTTTCATAGACATTATATAAGAAATGCATTGCTATTGGTTTGGGAAAAGGTTAGAGATAAATACTATGTGAAAATAGCAACATGGTTATCAATGATGGAAGCTTTAATACACCCAAATGTTTTTAATTTTGGAAATATTGTTAGATACAAGGACTTGTTAACAGATAAGGGGGAATTAAAAGAGAAAGGAGAACTAGAAGAACGGGATTGGGATAGATTGGTATATGTATATGCAAATAAGGACAAGATATGAAAAGGATGCAAAATTACATGGTTTCTATATCGAAAAGACTGAGTTAGATAGGATACTCAGGAACGGAAGAAAATGTAATAAAAAAAATTTATAACTTTTTGTCATATATTGAGTTGGAGAAGGAACAGGTGAAAGAAACAATGATAGCTTGGGGAAGAAATTTTGGACATTCAATTGATCTTGAAAAATGGCAACAACTATGGGAAAGGAATTATAAATTAACAATGTCCACCGCATATAAAGAAAACCAATACAAAATGTTTTAATGATGGCATATGCCACCGGAGAAGTTAGCAAAAATGTTCAAAGATAAATCAGCTAAATGTTGGAAATGTCACCAACTATGTGGTGGACATGCCCTGAAGCAAAAAATATTGGAATAAAATTAAAATCTGGCTGGAAGAAATGACACAAATAGTATTGAATTCAAACCAGTTGTTTCTATTGAGTATCCTACCTGACAAAATTAAAAAGGAATTGTTGTGACTTCGACCCCCAAGCCCGTCTTATCAGAGGGAGAAGACTCCGAAAGTGAAAGAGAGGAGCTGGCAAGGCCACCCTCTCCAGGACCCTCCTTCTGGCAATGCCTCAGGTGTCCTCCGAAGGCCAAGAGATAGGCCAGGAGCCAGGCACTTCCGAGCAGCCCCAGTTAGACACCAACGGAAATGAGTCTTGGCTGGATCCCTGACAGCGTCGGAAAGACAAGCGCGCGCAGCAGAGAAGGAGGCGTGCCAGAGATTAAGCTGAGTCACTGGACCATACCCCACAGGGGATAAAAGGGGGTGTGGTAGCCATTCAGGCCTTGTGACGGACAAAACTGAAAAGCTAGCAAGTCATACTGCATTTCTGGAACTTCATTATATCTCCTCCTTGGATTTATTATGGACTGGACTTGACAATTATTTGGCTTTGTGGACTTATTTTGGTTTATCGGACGGAGAAAAACCTCCCTTTGTGAGTAAAGTTTTTGGCAGGCAGCTACTGGGTTGCTGCCAATTCTGTTATTTCAAAGGAATTCCTGACGGCTGGTTTTATTAACTCCTGGCTGACTGTTTGTGTGCGTGTGTGAGACGGGGACAGAACAGGAATATATTTATTTGATTATACATCTAATAACAGCTGCAAAAGTTCTCTATGGTCAAAATTGGAAATAAGAGAAAATACCTTCAGAAGGTGAAGTAATAAGAAAGATTATAGATTGCGTTGAAATAAATCAATTAACTTTATTGATTAAAAATAGGGAAGAATCAGAATACTTAAAAATATGGAATTGTTTTTATTCTTGGTTACAAGAGATATAAATGATTAATTTTATAAATATGTATGACTGGGTATGTCTGGATGGGATGACTGAGGCAGGTCTTGAGAGTGTTATCTGGGGGGAGTTCGATCCTGTGGCTCCCGAGGACATGGACAGGGTCCTGGGATGGCTGAACGCGACCCCATGTTTATTGGACCCGTGTCCCTCCTGGTTGGTACTGGCTTCCCGGGAGGTGACACGAGTCTGGCTCCAGAAGATTGTTAACGCTTCTTTGAGTGAGGGGGTCATGCCGGCTGCTTTGAAAGAAGCGGTTGTGAGGCCCCTCCTCAAGAAGCCCTCTCTGGATCCGGCTGTTTTGGCTAACTATCGTCCAGTCTCCAACCTTCGCTTCGTTGCGAAGGTTGTTGAGAGTGTGGTGGTGCAACAGCTTCCCCGGTACCTGGATGAAGCTGTCTATCTAGACCCGCTCCAGTCCGGCTTCAGGCCTGGGCACAGCATGGAAACGGAATTGGTCGCATTGGTGGATGATCTCTGGAGGGCCCGGGATAGGGGTTGCTCCTCTATCCTGGTCCTGTTAGACCTCTCAGTGGCTTTTGATACCATCGACCATGGTATCATGTTGCACCGGTTGGCGGGGTTGGGGGTGGGAGGCACCGTTCTGCGGTGGTTCTCCTCCTACCTCTCTGACCGGTCGCAATCTGTGTTGACAGGTCGACCCCGAGGCACCCTGCTTGTGGGGTGCCACAAGGGTCGGTCCTCTCGCCCCTTCTGTTCAACATTTATGTAAAGCCGCTGGGTGAGATCATCCGTGGCTTCGGGGTGGAGTTCCATCAGTACGCTGATGACACCCAGCTGTACATCTCCACCCCAATGATGCCCTTAAAGTGATGTCCCAGTGCCTGGAGGCCGTGCGGGCCTGGATGGGGAGAAACAGGCTCCGACTCAACCCCTCCAAGACCGAGTGGCTGTGGCTTCTGGCGTTCCGATATAGCCAGCTGATGCCATCGCTGGCTATTGGGGGTGAATCACTCGCCCCCACAGAGAGGGCTCGTAACTTGGGCGTCCTCCTGGACGCACGGCTGTCTTTAGAAGATCATTTGATGGCCGTGGCCAGGGGGGCTTTTTATCAGGTTCGCCTGATACGCCAGTTGCGCCCCTTTCTAGATCGGGACTCCCTACGCACAGTCACTCAGGCACTCATCACTTCCCGCCTGGACTACTGCAACGCTCTCTACATGGGGCTCCCCCTGGGGTGCACCCGGAGGCTCCAGCTGGTCCAGAACGCGGCCGCGCGGGGGATTATGGGGGCGACAAGGCGCTCCCATGTGACACCTCTCCTGCGCGAGCTGCACTGGCTCCCGGTGGTCTTCCGGGTGCGCTTCAAGGTGTTGGTGACCACCTTTAAAGCGCTCCATGGCTCAGGGCCGGGGTATTTACGAGACCGCCTTCTGCCACCAAGTCTCCCACCGGCCAGTACGCTCACACAGAGTGGGCCTCCTCAGGGTGCCGTCCGCCAGACAATGTCGGCTGGCGACCCCCAGGGGGAGAGCCTTCTCTGTGGCGGCGCCCACCCTCTGGAACAACCTCCCCCCAGAGATGCGTACAATAACAGACCTCCGGATTTTTCGTCGGGCCCTGAAAACCCATTTATTTCAACTAGCTGGGCTGGCTTGCGTTAAATTTTAAACTGATTTTAAATTGGAATTGTTTTAATTACGGCCAAAATATTTAATTATTTTAAACAGTTTTTAGATTTTGTATGTCTTGTTTTTACTTTGGCTGTTCACCGCCCTGAGTCCTATTTTGGAGAAGAGCAATATAGAAATTTAAACAAACAAACAAATAAATAAATAAAAAACCTGAGTAAGAATATGATTATAGTAATGAATTTGTACAGTGATTTTGAAGACGACTAAGACAGAAGAAACTGTTGGAACAAGAAGAATAAAATGAACTGAAGAATTCCACACCGAGATGTCACACGGGGGGGCTGATTGATGTTTTAAATGTATGTTTGTTTTTAAAAAAATAATAAAAAACTTTATTTAAAAAAATTAAAATATCATGAGGGGGCAAAAAGAAGAGGAAAAATGTTTTATTTAGGGGTTGAATCCAAAGCATCCACAGGAAATACTTAAGACCTTTCTAGAATTTAAGGCAAGGATATGGTTATCTCCAAATCATGAATAAAAAGAAAAGTACAATTGGTTTCTAATTTCGGATGACTGCTACTCTGATTTCCATTTCTCTAATGAAAAATTGGAGAATAACTGGCAGAAAACTGGAATTGGTGCCTTTTCTCCATCTTGACGTAGAATCATCCGTGGGTACTGTTTGAAGAAACAGCTTCAGCCCAGGAGCCTCTGAAACGCAGATGTTTCTCCCCCACCCAAAACCTTCCTATTTTTTTTTTGCCAATAAACAATTGTTAGGGCTTTTCTGATTATGATAAACAGAAAGAAAGACAGCATTTGTTTTTTGCATAAAAAACTTTATTAGACACACTTAAACTCCTAGTTATATTAATGCTAACCGCCCCTTGCTAATTTTAATCTATTACCCACAGATTAGTAACTATTTCTATCTTACTTGACCTATCTATTTCTATCTCTATCTCCTTTCTCTATGTTTACATATGAAAACCCTTTTTGCTCCTCTAGATTTGCCAAGGAATGCCAAAGGTACTTTTTCAAAAGGCAACTGGGCTTTCTATTTTCTTGAAGATGTTTCGCTTCTTAGCCAAGGAGCATCTTCAGTTTTGAAGAAGCATCCTCAGATGCTTCTTGGATGAAGCATCTGGACTGGAAAGTGTTTACAGTGTACTTTTTTGTATCCTCACACTCCAGAAGTTCCCGTTCTCATTTCTCCTAGAGAGGAAATAAGATTTTAAAAAGTTTTGTCTTGAAGAGACGCATCAGGGACATGCACCTCCTTTTGCTTATTATGGAAGAAACATCTATTAAATAGCTGCCTGATCACATCCCTCCTAGAACAATCATTATCCAGCTCAATACTGGGATACATTCTCAGATGAGCCCCTTGTCCAAACTGAATACACCATGGTGATTGTAAATCCAGTATAGGTTAGGCAATCTGTTACACGGTCACCAGAAATCTCCCTTTTGAACGTTCTTGTAATTTAGCACAATATCCCAAGACATTTCCACTTTCAACATCTTGCAATTCATTATGTAACTTCTAACGACAGCTATACAAGCTTAACTGCAAAAGATTTGCTACTTAAACTGTTCTATTCATAAGGTATATTTTTTAGCATCATTTGTTCTTTGGTAATTTATATTTAGCTATAACTCCTATAAATCTTTCCTGATTTATAGCTTTCCCGTATAATGCCTTGAATTGTGCTTGCTCTCAAAAGTTAAATTTTTATTGGGGGTTTAGGCTTTATTATGATCCAATCGAAAATGCAATAAACGTGAAGAAAGAAAGATGTTCTCTTATTCATGTGAAATGGCATGGCTGACCTTCAAATGACAGTGGTTACAAAATCCACTATTCATAATTAAACCACCACATGCTTAGTCTTTGGTTTCCATTAACAAATTCATGTCTCTTGGCTTCCAGTTGTGAAGATCAGGCTGAAAAAAAATTCTAATTCAGTAAACGTAATTAGGAAATGCACATGTTTCAACAACTAAACCTATCATTTCATTCATCCTGCTGAAGTTTTTTTCCTTATTCCAAAGACTGATATGGCTTCTACACTGTGTGGGTCCGTTTATGTGAGTTAAGATTACTGCTCGTAATAAAACTTTTTCCACACACCATACATGTATAACGCCCATCCCCTGTGTGGATCCTTTTATGGATATTAAGATACGTCTTTGTAGAAAACCTCTTTCCACATTCCATACATTTATACTTCTCCCCTGTGTGGGTCTTTTTATGAGTAATAAGATTACTACAGCCAGTAAAGGATTTTCCACACTCCATGCATTTATACGGCTTCTCCCCTGTATGGATCCTACTATGGTAAACAAGCTCACAGTTCTTAATAAAGCTCTTTCCACACTCCATGCATGTATGTGGCCTCTCCCCTGTGTGGATCTTTTTATGGCAAGTAAGGTCGCTACCGTGAGAGAAGCTCTTTCCACATTCCATGCATTTATAGGGCTTCTCTCCTGTGTGGATCCTTTCATGGGTCTTAAGATATGTCTTTGTAGAAAAACTCTTTCCACATTCCATGCATTTATAGGGCTTCTCTCCTGTGTGGATCCTTTCATGAGTCTTAAGATTCGTCTTCGTAGAGAAACTCTTTCCACATTCCATGCATCTATAAGGATTCTCTCCTGTGTGGATCTTTTCATGTGTGTTAAGATACATCTTCGCAGAAAAACTCTTTCCACATTTCATGCATGTATAAGGATTCTCCCCTGTGTGGATCGTTTCATGGGTCTTAAGATACGTCTTTGTGGAAAAACTCTTTCCACATTCCATGCATTTGTAAGGATTCTCCCCTGTGTGAATCCTTCCATGAGTCTTAAGATACGCCTTCGTAGAAAAACTCTTTCCACATTCCGTGCATTTATAAGGATTCTCCCCTGTGTGAATACTTTCATGAGTCTTAAGATATGCCTTCGTAGAAAAACTTTCCACATTCCATGCATTTGTAAGGATTCTCCCCTGTGTGAATCCTTTCATGAGTCTTAAGATACGCCTTAGTAGAAAAACTCTTTCCACATTCCATGCATTTATAAGGATTCTCCCCTGTGTGGATCCTTTCATGGGTGTTAAGATATGACTTTGTAGAAAAACTCTTTCCACATTCAATGCATTCGTAAGGATTCTCCCCTGTGTGGATCATTTCATGGGTCTTAAGATACGTCTTTGTGGAAAAACTCTTCCCGCATTCCATGCATTTATAGGGCTTCTCCCCTGTGTGGATCCTTTTATGATGTGTAAGTTTATCGTTTTCAGCAAAACCTTTACCACATTCCATGCATTTATATCTTTTCTTTGCGTCATGGATCCTTTTATGGTAAATAAGTTGACTGTTCTTAATAAAGCTCTTTCCACACTCCATGGATTCATGTGTCTTCCCTCCTACATGGGTCCTTTTTTGAGATACACAGGGCCCATTTTTATGAGGAAGAGACAGGGTCCATTTATAGTTTTTTCCATTGTCTCTATATATATTATCTCCTTTGATTTGGGTTTGATGGTGTTTCTCTACATCTAATTTGTTTATGAATACTTCCATACATTTTCCAATATATTTCTTTTTTATTTTTCCTTGCTGGGCCACAGAGGCTTTCATTGCTGCTTGAATAGAAGGTGAACTTTCCTGATTCCAATTATTTGAGTGGTTTCTTTCATGGCTTTCTACTTCCATTAGAACTGCAGGGTTCTTCATACTGTATGAACGACTGATCATTTGGAATAGTTCTCTGGAATCTTCATCTTCCTCCCCATTATTACCTTCATAAGAAAAAATAAAACAAAATAACTTTAGGAAAGAAGAGCAAAGTAGAGGAAGATGGAATATAAAGAACAACAAACAGCTTCAATCTTCTTAGTTGTAGAGCAGCTCTTCAAGTATTTGATCTGGACTTGCTTGATTAAAATTTTGGAAGATACATCTAGGTTTCTATGCCAAGGGAATATCCATTGATTAAATATCAAATGCTCCAAATTTCAAAGGAAATGAAAAGATTTGGTTTCTCAATTTGAAATTCAATTTTGCATTCTGCTGCGGTTTTTATAAGAAGTGGGAGTTGCTCAGAAATATGAGAACATAGTTCTCATATTATCAGAAACATTATAGGTAGATAAAGAGAACTATAGGATTCAACAACATAAAACCGAATTTGAATCTCAGTTGTATAGAAAATATATAATTGCTAAGACCTCTAAATATACAGAGGATATGAAAACCAACAGAAAAATATCGAAAGTGTGTAAATGTACCTCAAACTATTATTGGAAATGTGGACAAGATAAAGGATCCTTTTGTAGTGCTTTGGTGGCCTTGTAAAAAAGCTAGAAAACTTTGGATTCAGACATTCACTGATACAGAGAATTTAAAATAAATATCCAATTGAAATCAGAACAGTTTATGTTGGCAATAATCAACAGTCATAGAAGATTGTTTCTGAGTATGACAACCGTAGTTGGACTATTATACACAAAAAACTAGAAGGGTTCTACATTAACTAGAATGGTGGAATGGTTGAAGAAGATGATAGAATTCTCCATGATGACTAAATTGACTCTGATCAGGGAAAAGATAGCATCTATATTTATTAGTGATTGGAAACCCTGATGGACCTTTGGCTGAAAGAAAGAAAAAATGACCTTGTAATCAAATTTATGTTTAAAGATTAGAAAGGATGAATTATGTAAAGGAGGAACAATAGTTTCTTAATAGTTTTTAACTTCTATATGTATTTGTATTTATTATGGCTGTTCACCGCCCTGAGTCCTTTGGGAGTAGGGCGGTATACAAATATGAAAAATAAAATAAAATAATAAATAAACAATGATGTAACCTTAAAAAGAGGGGGGGAGGAATATAACTATTACCGTACTTTGGTCTTTTCTCCTTTTTTAATTTTATCATACTTTTTTCTTATTCATTAATCACATTACACTATCTTTATTTTCTTTTCAAAATTTGTAGTTTTTATTCTGATAAAAATTCTTGTATATTCTCACCCAAAGAGGCCACGTTCCTATGATTTTCCAGCATGACTTCCCGATACAGTGCTTTTTGGTCAGCATCCAGCTGAGACCACTCCTCTTCGGAGAAATACACAGCCACCTCCTTAAAGGACACGAGACCTTCCTGCATGTGAAGGAAACAGAAGAAAAATCAGCAGTGAAAGGAAGCAATCCCACTCTATGTCTGGGTCTGTCTGTCTGTCTGTCTATCTCCATGCATCAAGACTTTCAGCATCTGGAGAATCAACTGATATCGGCCATGGAAATCACACCTAGCACAACCCACCCAGTGGTTGTAGAAGAAAGTGTGTGTGTGTGTGTGTGTGTTGTATTATCCCTCTCTTACTTTTGGAGCTTCAATCAGAATTTCAGCACCACCATAAAAAGGAGTCAAATTCATTTTGTTTTTCCCTGTGAGGAAGACAGAAATTTTAAATGGATAATTAATAAAATTGCAAGAGGCATTCTACAGAAGAGTTACAGAAGGTAAGACAGCTGGAATCTCTCTTGGGAATGGGTGGACTTTTGATTACCATCTGAGATGTCCTCGCTTGCGGATTCATGATAGACCCCCTTGGAAAACAGCTCCCGAGGGGGATTTGATGGATTCCTCTTTCTCATAGGTTCTCTGGCCTGCAGCGTGAAAGACTTGAAATAGGAGGGAGGAGAAAAGAAAAATGCATCACATAACATGAACTGGAATCTTGTTCTCAAAAAACAGCTTCAATGCCCCAGTATCCATCAATGAGCGTAGAATGTGCAAGAAAGGAACGGCTGTTTCCAGTCTATGCTCTAGAATGGATAATGGAACAATGTCCTGCAAGAACTAGTGGAACATCTTAAAATATTATGAAGACCAGAGAAGTATGGAAGGGAGGGGTGAGGAATTCAAACACATTCTTTATTCCCTTCTGGACTTCCAAGATGAAGGTCTCTCACCTGCAATTCGACTTCCTCCTTCTGCTCCTCTCTCTGACTCAGGAGGAAGCCTTCCGCCAGGGCCACCGCTTGGGAGCTGGTCTCTGCTCCACACTCCCGCACCCAGCTCTTCATTGGCAGGGGCAGAAGGGCCAGGAGCTGCTCCAGAACCACCAGGTCCAACATTTGAGTTTTAGTGTGCTTTTCTAATCTCAGCCATTGACTATAAAAGTTGTGGAGTTGGCTGCAAAGTCCTCGGGGACCTCCCGCTTCCTGGTATTGGATGTTTCTGAAGCTGCATGTCTGAATCTCTGAACGGATGATGGTTTCCTTCTCCAGGATCTTCTGCCCAGTTCTTGGCCAGATCAACCCACAGCTGCCAGGGTGAACAGCTAAGGGGCCTTTTCCAGTTCCCTCACTTCCTAACACTTCTTTCTGCATTCTTTCTCTGTCCGGTAAGGAAATTCCAGATAGTTCTGAGGAATCTTGTGGATCTCCAAATGTGGACCTTTCAATTCATAGGACGATTCCTGGAGCTGCAGGATTGATTACAAAAGCTATCCAGAATCTTCTCCCAAGTGTACCTTTTGTTGTTAGGAAGGTTGTTGTGATGAGTTTAGTTTCTGCAACTGAGATGGAAAAGAAAATAAATTGAAAGAATGAGAAGGTTGTGGACTTAACTCCCGAACAACATTCATCCTCATGGAAGGGAGTCTTACACAAACATTGCAGAAACAAATCTTCTGAAGTCTGTCTGTACATGAAGTGTGGTGCAAAATATGGTCGTACTTTTCATCCAGAATTTGGAATATAAAACAAATGTTTCATTTTTTGATTATTTTCTCCCCCTCCCCCCGGAAGGGGAGGCTAGCCTTTTTTCAAATTTAAGATCTGTATTTACCTTATTATTTACCAAATAATTCCCTCAACAATATCAAATTATTTACTAAGTCTGCATTACTATTAACCTTATCATCGTTCCTCTCACCCACCTCCTCCCACTTATGATTGTATGACTGTAACCTTGTTGCTTGTATCCTTAAGATTTATATTGACTGTTTCCTAATATGATTTGATTGCTTATTTGGTCCCTATGAATATCATTGTGTTGTACCTTATGATACTTGACCAATGTATCTTTTATGTACTCCGAAAGCATATGCACCAAGACAAATTCCTTGTGTGTCCAATCACAGTTGGCCAATAAAGAATTCTATTCTATCTATTCTATTCTTACACTTAGGGTTCACACAAGATGCTGAAACTCAAGGAGCTTAAGAAACCGGAATGGAATACAGAATTTTTCATGTGTTTCTTGTCCTTCATATTGAGGCATTTAGGTATTAGACATTCATTAAGGATGTTCCTCATTCTTGTCTTAAAGTTGGTATGTTTGTAAGTAACTGCCATGAAGTAGAGATAAGGAGGAAATGACAAGTTTCAAAAATGGCTTATCCCAAGAAAGAAAAAAATACCTTTTTTCAGGGGTCTCAATGAAAAAAAGGAAAAAGATGGAATACTTCTAAGTGAAATGATCCTAGGAAGGAACAACATTCTAACGATGACATGAAGGTTGACTTCACATCAAATGAAGTGCTTATGATGCTCATTTTCTATTTTTGCTTTTTTGGTCATCATAAAACATGAAGGCTGCTTCACACAATCTGCCCTGACCTCCAAACTGGTTAACCAACTGTATGGGCAAAGTTCACATGAAACAAGTCTTGAAAGAATAAACCTTAAAATGGTTTTTCACCCATCCTCTTAAGCCTGGAGGATTTGACCTTAGTTCATTCTTTGTCTCCAGAAAAAGCACAAAGGATTTACAACTTATATATGCAAAACGGAAAAGCAAAGAAAGCAGGAAAAAGGGGGACTAAGTTAACAAGCGAGAATCCATCTCCAAAGAAAAAATAACCAGAAGAAAATTTTATCAAACCACTAATGTCAGGAAAAAAAGTAGAGAATCTTATTAGTTACCGATTTCATAAGGAAATAAATCAACATTTGAATTTACTATACAGTAAAACTTGAAGCAGCAGAATCCCATTAATCATCCAGCCCAAAATCCCTTTGGGAACTGAATGAACAAGCCACCATCCAATACATATGTAGGATTAACAGCCGAATGGATAAACCATTTTACAGACTAACATGATCTCCTGAATGATGCAACTCCTACAAACACCTTTCCCGCTTCTTCGCTTAATCCACACTTTTTCAAACACGGCCAAATTGAAAGGTGTGGATTTTAACTCCCAGACTTAAAAAGAGATGGAGAAACACCGGCCTCATCGGGCACACGGTGCGAATGCTGCGCCTCAGCCCCACTTTTGCAGCTCCGTCGCCCCTGCAAGGTCTCCCTTCTTTTCCTTTGCGGTCGTGGGGAAAGGATGGGAAAGAGCACCCCAGTCCCAGTCCTCGCACATCCGTCCTTGCACCCAGAGCCAGCAGGGGGGCTTCGAGGCTGCCTCCACTCCCCCAATAAATGGGGAGAAACGCCCCCTCCACTTCTAGGGACCCCCATTTCTCTCCTTTGCTCCCCCCCCAACTCCATGGAACCTGCATGGGAAAGGGCGGCAGGGGAACATGGGACCACGGACTCCGACCCCGCAGGAAGACTTGAGCCGTCTCCACTCACCCCTCCAGCAAGGGGCCCCTTTGCACGGGCAGAGCCGCCACTCACGCAACTCGGGAGTCCCTCGTCGGGATCGGTGTTTCCGCAAAGGCTCCCCGGCAGCCTCTCCGCACCCCACTCACAGCGGACGGAGGAGGCAGAAAGGGCAGCCGCCTCTCCCGACGAACTCCAGGCGAAGAGGTCGGCGCATGCTCCGTTCCTACGTGTGTTGGACAGCGCCCCTTGGTGGGCTCTGAGCAAAGTGCCAGGATACCCTGAAAGGGCGGGAAAGAGGAAAGTATTTGGAGGGAATGGGAATAGAATAGAATAGAATAGAATAGAATAGAATAGAATAGAATAGAATAGAATAGAATAGAATAGAATAGAATAGAATAGAAGTGAAGTGAAGTGAAGTGAAGTGAAGTGAAGTGAAGTGAAGTGAAGTGAAGTGAAGTGAAGTGAAGTGAATTGAATTCTTCATTGACCAAGTCAATTCCTTGCACACACAAGGAATTTGTCTTTGGTGCATATGCTCTCAGAGTACATGAGGAGAATAAAATACATTCATCAAGAATAGGAATAGGAATAGGAATAGAATTGGAAATGGGAATGGGAATAATCAAATAGGAATAGGAATAGAATTGTAATAGAATAGGACTGGACTGGACTGAAGTTCCAGAAATTTTACCTCACAATGAGGCTATGTAGAATCTCCGTAAAGGTTTCCACCAAAAGGGTTCGAATTTCCCGGCTAGGAAAGCATCGCAGTTACGACGACCCAATTAACGAGTGAAGCGAGCTGCGTGAAAACAGGATTCTCTTTATTTCGTTTCAGGAAGACGGATCCGGCAAGTGCACAAACCAGCGTTCCTGGGTGAGCTGACATCCTTACAAGGTAAGCGTACATTTTTATACTTTTCTGTACAAAGGAAATTCTTTGTTTCTTTTGTTACTTTTGTGGGTCTCCCTTTTGTGTGTGTGTGTTTATGGATGGCCCTGTGTTTTCTTATTATAGTTCTTCCCACTTGAAACTGGGTGGTGTCTTGGTTATCTGGCTTCCTGTTCTTTTGCTTCCTTTTGCTCTTATTATTTGCTCCTTGCCTTAAGCTGATCATGTTGTTATCAGGTAAGGGCTAACCCTCCCCCCCCCCTTGACTCTTATCAGATTGCTTGGGCTATTGATTAAATCTTTTCCTTAGCTAATCCTCTGCCATTCCTTTTGTTTTGCTCTGCTCTTTGGATAGTTTCTTTCCTGGCATGTCCTGGGTCTTTTGTGTGTGTCATTTCCCTGGGTCCTCTTTGTTCCTAAATGGCCCTGATGCTTATGTGTTCTATTTTGGGAAGGTCATTTTCCTATGCCTGTGGCCTTTTCCTTCCTGAGTTGATCCTGTACTATGAGGTTTTATTATGTCTTATTGGCCCTGGCACTGTCTTGGTGGTGTTCCCCTCCTACAATAAAGTGGGGATTGTAGGAGGATCCGTCTTCCTGAAACGAAATAAAGAGAATCCTGTTTTCACGCAGCTCGCTTCACTCGTTAATCGGCTCATCGTGCCTGCGACGCTTTCCCAGCTGGGAAATTCGAACCCTTTCGGGGGAAACCTCTACGGAGATTCTACAGCTACTTGGAGGACAAATGAAGCAGGGGCTGGGAATGACATATCATCTGTGACTGGAAAAAAGGGGGAACTACAAAATGATGGAAACAGATTATGGAAAAGAGAATATAAAATTAAAATACCGTTTTAATTGCAATTGGGTTGGCATGCCTTTTTGTGGTATGATAGAAATAAGATACATACCTATTTTCATAGACATTATATAAGAAATGCATTGCTATTGGTTTGGGAAAAGGTTAGAGATAAATACTATGTGAAAATACCAATATGGTTATCAATGATGGAAGCTCTAATACACCCAAATGTTTTTAATTTTGGAAATATTGTTAGATACAAGGACTTGTTAACAGATAAGGGGGAATTAAAAGAGAAACGAGAACTGGAAGAACAGGGGATTGGGATAGATTGGTATATGTATGTGCAGATAAGGACAAGATATGAAAAAGATGCTAAATTACATGGTTTCTATATCAAAAAGACTGAGTTAGATAGGATACTCAGGAACGGAAGAAAATGTAATAAAAATTTTTTATAACTTTTTGTCATATATTGAGTTGGAGGAGGAACAGGTGAAAAACAATAGCTTGGGGAAGAAATTTTGGACATTCAATTGATCTTGAAAAATGGCAACAACTATGGGAAAGGAATTATAAATTAATGATGTCCACCGCATATAAAGAAAACCAATACAAAATGTTTTATAGATGGCATATGCCACTGGAGAAGTTAGCAAAAATGTTCAAAGATAAATCAGCGAAATGTTGGAAATGTCACCAACTACCAGGATCTTATTATCATATGTGGTGGGCATGCCCTGAAGCAAAAAAATTGGAATAAAATTAAAATCTGGCTGGAAGAAATGACACAAATACGTATTGAATTCAAACCAGAGTTGTTTCTATTGGGTACCCTACCTGACAAAATTAAAAAGGAATATATTTATTTGATTATACATGTAATAACAGCTGCAAGAATTGTCTATGCTCAAAATTGGAAATTGGAAAAAATACCTTCAGAAGATGAAGTAATAAGAAAGATCTTAGATCGCACTGAAATGAATCGATTAACTTTATTGATTAAAAATAGAGAAGAATCAGAAAACTTAAAACTTCTTGGTTGCAAAAAAGATATGATTAATTTTATAAATATGTATAAAAAACCTGATAGTAAGAATATGACTATAGTAATGAATTTGTACAATGATTTTGAAGACAACTAAGACAGAAGAAACTGTTGGAACAAGAATAAAATGAACTGAGGAATTCAACACCGAGATGTCACACGCGAGGGCTGATTGAAGTTTTAAATGTTTGCTTTTTAAAAAATAATAAAAAACTTTATTAAAAAAATTAAAATACCATGAGGGGGCAAAAAGAGGAGGAAAAATGTTTTATTTAGGGGTTGAATCCAAAGCATCCACAGGAAATACTTAAGACCTTTCTAGAATTTAAGGCAAGGATATGGTTATCTCCAAATCATGAATAAAAAGAAAAGTACAATTGGTGTCTAATTTTGGATGACTGCTACTCTATGATTTCTATTTCTCTAATGAAAAATTGGAGAATAACTGGCAGAAAACTGGAATTGGTGCCTTTTCTCCATCTTGACGTAGAATCATCCGTGGGTACTGTTTGAAGAAACAGATTCAGCCCAGCAGGAGCCTCTGAAATTGCAGATGTTTCTCCCCCACCCAAATCCTTCCTAATTCTTTTTGCCAAAAAACAATTGTTAGGGCTTTTCTGATTATGGTAAACAGATACAAAGACAGCATTTGTTTTTCGCATAAAAACCTTTATTAGACACACTTAAACTCCTACTTGTAATTTTAATGCTAACCGCACCTTGCTAATTTTAATCTTCCTATTACCCACAGGTTAGTAACTATTTCTATCTTATTTTATATATCTACTAGGTGGACGCCCATGCTTCACTATGAAACTATGTGCTCGGGCTTGATAAATTGACACTTGCAACCTGAAACAATGTAGAATGTGTAACTCCATAGCATCAGAGTGTGTTAATAGAATGCAACTGGCAGTTGGAACAGAGGGGGAGTAGAATGTCCCAGCCCACAGCATCCATCAGTATTCATCTGGCTAGCATCCTGTCATTGTGTGAGAGTTGAGGGGTGTTTGAAAACTCAAACAGTATTTGCTGTGTGAGCAAGGAGGCTGGATATGGCTTAGCTCAACTGTTGGGTAGTAAAGCTGCTTGCTGCTGTGAAAGTAAAACTGAAAGTGAAACTCCTGCTTGTGTTTTGCATTTGGAACAGATTTCTTTTGAGGTGGGAAGGGGGAGTAGAACTCCTTAACATCAGTGCGTGTTAATAATAATATAGGAAATAGTAATGCTCTGGTCATTTTGAAAAATCCTTTCTTAGTGAGCACCTAGAAGCCAAGAGGAACATACGTGGCAAGTTTCAAGCTTGTAGGCTTTACGGTTCGTGATTAATGCGTGAGTGGTTTTCATTTTTGTCTATATAGATTTCTTTATCTTCTTTCTCTCTGTTTACATATGAAAACCCCTTGTGCTCCTCTAGATTTGCCAAGGAATGCCAAAGGTACTTTTTAAAAAGGCAACTGGGCTTTCTATTTTCTTGAAGATGTTTTGCTTCTTAGCCAAGGAGCATCTTCAGTTTTGAAGAAGCATCCTCAGATGCTTCTTGGATGAGAAGCGAAATGTTTTATTTTATTGTTGGCTGTTCACTGCCCTGAGTCCTTCGGGAGTAGGGCGGTATAGAAATCAAATAAAATAAATAAATAAATGACCTGTGTGAATGAGGACCTCCACAGGTATTTGTCAAGGGACTTTACTCTCCCCTCCCCAATCATAATCCTCTATTACTGGAGCTGTTTTGGGGGATTCTGCACCATGACCAGCTGCATGAAGGGCTCTTCCCTGGATTTTCACACCGTAAGGTCTCATTCTTTTCTTGAGATTCGTCCAGCTTTCCCCATCTCTACAAAAACCTTCGGTGAAGGAGGGACTGCAGCTGTTGTGTACAGAACCATTGATATAAATTTTCATTTACATTGAATGTAGAGATTTTCTTAGCCCTGATCTGATCACAGAAAGACAAAATATGGTCCTAATGCTTGGAAAGTCTTTTGCACATGCATTTCAGGGGCTTCTAGTCATTCTGGCTTTTTGTGAGAGAAGAATACTTTATCCTAAAACTTTCACCCCATTCAAATTAGAATCTATGTGATTCTTCTCTCACAACATGAGAGACAAAAAGTTCCCTTCTTCTACATTCATACGCATTCATTAGGTCTCAGTTTTACATAGTGGATTGAAAGAGTTTATTGTGTATTTTTTTTCGTATCCTCACACTCCAGGAGTTCCCGTTCTCATTTCTGCTATAAAGGAAAAAAGATTTTTAAAAGTTTTGCCTGATCACATCCCTCCTAGAACAATCATTTTCCAGCTCAATACTGGAGCCTTGGTGGTACAGGGGTTTAAGGCACCCTGTTATTAAGCTTATTAAGATCAGCTGCCTGCAATTACTGCAGGGTTCGAATCTCGTCAAGGCTCAAGGTTGACTCAGCCTTCCATCCTTTCTAAGGTAGGTGAAATGAGGACCCAGTTTGTGGGGGCAATAAGCTGACTTTGTATAAATATACAAAAGGATGAAGGCTATTGCTGAGCACATTGTAAGCCGCCCTGAGTCTTCGGAGAAGGGCGGCATATAAATCAAATTAAATAAAAAAAATAAAAATAATACTGGGATACATTTTCCAGCTCAATACTGGGATACATTCTCAGGTAAGCCTGAGAAGTCCATGCTGAATACACCGTGGAGATTGTAAATCCAGCATAGATTAGGCACTCTGTTACACTGTCACCAGATGTTTCCTTTTTGAATATTCTTGTAATTAAGCATAATATCCCAAGATGTTTCCAGTTTCAACATCTTGCAATTCATTATGTAACTTAAACTGTTCTATTCATAAGGTATCTTCTTTAGCATCACTCGTACTTTGGTAATTCATACGTAGCTGTAACTTCTGCAAGTCTTTCCTGATTTATACTTTTCCCATACTATGCCTGGAATTACATTTTAGTAGCTAAGTTTATGTTTTCTCTCAAAAATTAAACTTTTCTTGGGGATTTGGGCTTTCTTATGATCCAATATGGGATAAACATGAAGAAAGATGCTCTTATTTATTTGAAACGCCATTGCTGACTTTCAAATGAAAGTAGCTGTTGTGGTCTGCCAGCAGCCTGTGGAGCTGGCAGCAGAGTCGGACAGTGAGGAGGCTGGGAAGGAACATGGGCCAGTCCTGAAGTCTGGAGAAGGCCTGGACGAGGGCTCTGCGTCGGAGGCAGAGATGGGGCCAGGGCCATCTGGGAGTTATATGCAGACTCCGGAGCTTCCAGGGTCAGACATCAGAGAGGCAAAGGAACAGGAGGAGCCTATTCCTAGTGCGCGCATGCGCAGAGCTGCCAGAAGGCAAGAACAGTTAAAACTAAAGGGACAACTCGGGAGTAAGGCCTGGAGATGATTGGCCCCTCCCATAAGGTTTAAAAGAGGAGCAAAGGCACATGGGCCCTTTTCAGAAAAGCAATGTTAATTCTGTTCCCAGTCACCATCTCTGTTTGATTCTGGACTTCATGTGCCTTTGCCAAGTAGAACTTTTGCAGCGTGTCAAGGGAGATAAAGGTTGGTGATTATCCCGAAGGACTTCTCCCGAAGGACTTTTTGCAACTAATTGGGACTCAGCTGTGAATGAACGTAATTCACAACTGTTGCAATAAAAGAGGTTTTTGGGACTACTTGTATATTTTAATGATTCAGGAAGCCTAAATCACAACAGTAGCTACAAAAATCCACTGTTCTTAATTACAACACAATTAATCCCTTTCCTAATTCACTAATTAGGAAATGCATATATTTCAACAACTAAAAGGTAAAATTTTTACATATTCTCACCCAAATTTAATTCGTGAATGGAAATACCACCATTGGTCCCCTTGAAACTTCTTTCTGATTTCACAGATTTATATGGCTTCTACATTGTATGGGTCCTTATATGGTACTTAAGATATCTGTTTATCAGAAAACCTTTTCCACAGAGCATACATTTATAAGGCTTCTCCCCTGTGTGGATCCTTTTATGGTGATTAAGATACGTCTTCCTAGAAAAACTTTTTCCACATTCCATGCATTTATAAGGCTTCTCCCCTGTGTGGATTCTTTCGTGGGTCTTAAGATTCGTCTTCCTAGAAAAACTCTTTCCACATTCCATGCATTTATAAGGCTTCTCCCCTGTGTGGATCCTTTCATGGGTCTTGAGATATGTCTTTGTAGAAAAACTCTTTCCACATTCAACACATATATACTTCTCCCCTGTGTGGCTCTTTTTATGGCCAATAAGACGACAAGAGTCTATAAAGCATTTTCCACACTCCATGCATTTATACGGCTTCTCCCCTGTATGAATCCTACTATGATAAATAAGATAACAGTTCTTAATAAAGCTCTTTCCACACTCCATGCATTTATACGGCTTCTCTGTTGTATGGATCCGGGAATGCGTAGTAAGAGAAGTTCTATAAGTGAAACTCTTTCCACATTCCATGCATTTATAGGGTTTCTCTCCTGTGTGGATCCTCTTGTGACATTTAAGGTAACTGTTCCTACTAAAACTCTTTCCACACTGCATGCACTTATGTGGCTTTTCTCCTGTGTGGGTTCTTTTTTGAGATGTACAGGACCCATTTTTATGAGAAAGAGACTGCGTCCATTTGTAATTTTTTCCATTGTCTCTACTTATATAATCTTCTCCATTGGTTTGGGTTTGATAGTATTGATTTATATCTAATTTGTTTATGAATAGTTTTGTACATTTTCCAATATATTTTGTTTTTAGTTGTCCTTGTTCGGTCACGGAGGCTTTCGTTGATGCAGAAGATGAACTTTCCTGATTGCAATTATTTGACTGGTTTCTCTCATGGCTTTCTACTTCTATTAGAATTGTAGGGTTCTTCATATTGTATCCATGACTGATCATTTTGAATAGTTCTCTGGAATCTTCATCTTCCTCCCCATTATTACCTTCACAAGAAAAGAAAAATGCAAATAATGTTAGGGACAAAGAGCAAAGCAGAGGAAGACTGAATAGATACGGAGATACGGAGGATCCCGGATCTGCGCACCTTCCGCCACGCCTTAAAGACCTTTTTATTTCACCAGGCGGGCCTGGCCTAATTTTCTCCCTCTTTTATAAAAGATTTTTAATTTTTTAATATTTTTTAGTATTTTATATATTCAAATTTTAAAATTGGTTTTAAATTGATTGGGGTTTTAATTTGTCTGGGCCAAAACTATTTAATTTGATTTTAATTCCACTTTTAAATTTTGTATGTATGTATTTTATTGTTTGGCTGTGCACCGCCCTGAGTCCTTCGGGAGTAGGGCGGTATAGAAATAAAATAAAATAAATAAATAAATATAAATTCAGACTCTGCCCCAAAACATCCTAATGGCTTTCAGCAGAAAAAAAGCTGCAAGGAAAGACAATCGATTACATGTACAGAGGCATTAGAACTTGAGCTGTGGAAATACCAAATGAAATCAAGAATGGAAAAACCATAGAGTTCTCAACTATAGTTCTCTATTGTTCAACAACATAAAGCAGAATTTGAATCTCAAGTTGTGTAGAAAAGATGAATAAGTAATTGCTAAAACCTCTAAATATACAGAGGAATATGAAAATCAACAGAATAATATTCAAAAGTGTATAAATGTACTTCAAACTATTATTGGAAATGTGGACAAGATAAAGGATCCTTTTGTAATGCTTTGGTGGCCTTGTAAAAAAGCTAGAAAACTTTGGATTCAAAGGCATTCGGCGATACAGAGAACTTCAGCTGAAATCTGAACACTTTATTTTAGCACTAATCAACAGACATAGAAGATTTTTTCTGAATATGATATGAATATGAGAGTATTACAAACAAAAAACTAGAAGGGCTATTCGATAATTAGAATGGTGGCATGGTTGAAGATGATAGAATTCTCAATGATAAAGGAGGAAACAATTATGTACTCTTAAAAAGAGGGGGAACTGTAACTATTATTTTCTCTTTTCTCTTTTTTTAATTCTATCATACTTTTTTCTTATGCATTAATCACATTACCATATCTTATTTTCTTTTCAAAATTTGTAGTTTTTATTCTGATAAAAATTCCTGTATATTCTCACCCAAAGAGGCCACGTTCCTATGATTTTCCAGCATGACTTCCCGATGCAGTGCTTTTTGGTCAGCATCCAGCTGAGACCACTCCTCTTCGGAGAAATACACAGCCACCTCCTTAAAGGACACGAGACCTTCCTGAACAAGAAGAAAACCATAAAAAAATCAGCAGTGAAATAAAGCAATCCCACTTTTTCTCGGGGTTTGTCTGTCTGCCCGCCCAGTGTGTGTGTGTGTGTGTGTGTGTGTGTGTGTGTGTGTGTGTGTGTGTGTGTGTGTGTGTGTGTGTCTGTCTGTCTGTCTGTCTTTTTATCATTTAAATAAAAGGATTGTGGTGTCCCCAGAACAATCCATGCTCAAAACCTTCATTAAAGTTGTTTGAGAGGCATCCAGGGATTTACATGGGTGTCATCAATGGACAAAGACACACATGATCTGTTTCTGCTGCTCCTCAGATTACAAGGAATCCACTCCTTGTACTCCCACCCAATGGTTGAAGAAGAAAAACCTGCTTGGAAAAGGACTTTTCTCATCCTTTCCAAAGGTGGATTGTTGACCCAAAATTCCAGGCACAAATCGGAGTATTAGATTTAAAGGCTGAGAGGCCTCGATCTGGCCACACTCTTTGGATTTTAACAGTATGCTTTATCGTTTAACTTGATGCCATTATTTTTCTTATCACTGGTTGTAAACAAGGCGTTTTAGAAACTGTAAATGTGCCAATGTGATTCTTTCAGTTATTGAGTAGCCTTGCACAATTCCATGTCAAGGAATTACTTATAGGATCACTATTCATCAAACGCTCATATTGTGTACATTTTATTTTTTATTATCCCTCTCTTACTTTTGGAGCTTCAACCAGAATTTCAGCACCACCATAAAAAGGAGTCAAATTCGTTTTGTTCTTCCCTGTGAAGGAGACAGAAATTTTAAATGGATAATTAATAAAATTGCAGGAGGCACTCTTCTCTACAGAAGAGAAGAGATACAGAAGGTAAGACAGCTGGAATCTCTTTTGGGAATGGGTGGACTTTTGATTACCATCTGAGATGTCCTGACTTGCGGATTCATGATAGACCCTCCTGGAAAACCGCTCCCAAGGAGGATTTGATGGATTCCTCTTTCTTATAGGTTCTCTGGTCTGCAGAATGACAGACTTGAAATAGGAGGCAGGAGAAAAGAAAAATATATCACACAACATGAAGTAGATTCGTGTTCTCAAAAAACAACTTCAATGCCCCAATATCCATCAATGAGCCTAGAATGTGCAAGAAAGGAATGGCTGTTTCCAGTCTATGCTCTAGAACGGATAATGGAACAATGTCCTGCAAGAACTAGTGGAACATCTTAAAATATTATGAAGACCAGAGAAGTATGGAAGGGAGGGGTGAGGAATTCAAACACATTCTTTATTCCTTTCTGGAATTCCAAGATGAAGGTCTCTCACCTGCAATTCGACTTGCTCCTTCTGCTCCTCTCTCTGACTCAGGAGGAAGCCTTCTGCCAGGGCCACCGCTTGGGAGCTGGTCTCTGCTCCACACTCCCGCACCCAGCTCTTCATCGGCAGGGGAAGAAGGGCCAGGAGCTGCTCCAGAACAACCAGGTCCAACATTTGGGTTTTAGTGTGCTTTTCTAACCTCAGCCATTGACTATAAAGGTTGTGGAGTTGGCTGCAAAGTCCTCGGGGACCTTCAGCCTCCTGGTATTGGATGTTTCTGAAGCTGCATGTCTGAATCTCTGAAGGGGTAATGGTTTCCTTCTCCACAATCTTCTGCCCAGTTCTTGCCCAGATCTTCCCACAGCTGTCAGGCTGAGTGAGTGAGTGGCCTTTTCCAGGTCCCTCACTTCCTAATGCTTCTTTCTGCATCATTTCTCTGTCCTGTAAGGACAATCCAAATAGGTCTGAGGAATCTTGTTCATCTCCAAACAGCTTTCAATTCATAAAATATGTTACTGTACAGTAAAACTTGAACCAGCAGAATCCCATTACTCATTCAGCCCAAAATTCCTTTGGGAACTGAATGAACGAGCCACAATCCAATATATATGTAGGATTAACACCTGAGTGAATAAACCATTTTACAGACTAACGTGATCTCCTGAATGATGCAAATCCTACAAACACATTTCCCCGCTTCTTAGCTTAATCCACACTTTTTCAAACCAAATCAAAACGTGTGGATTTTAGCTCCCAGACTTTAAAGAAGATGGAGAAACACCTACAAGGTCTCCCTTCTTTTCCTCTGCGGTCGTGGGGAAAGGAAAGGCTGGGAAGCATCACCCCAGTCCCAGTCCTCGCACATCCGTCCTTGCACCCAGAGCCAGCAGGGGGGCTTCGAGGCTGCCTCCACTCCCCCAATAAATGGGGAGAAACGCCCCTTCCCTTTCTGGGGACCCCCACTTCTCTCCTTTGCTTCACCCCCCCCCCCCAACTCCATGGAACCTGCATGGGAAAGGGCGGCAGGGGAACATGGGACCCCGGAGGAAAACGTGGCATTCTCCACTCACCCCTCCACCGCGGGACCCCTTTGCACGGGCAGAACCTCCACTCAGGCTACTCTGGGGTCTCGTCGGGATTGGCGTCCCTGCAATGGCTTCCCGGCAGCCTCTGCGCCTCCCACTCACAGCGGACGGAGGAGGCAGCAAGGGCAGACGCCTTTCCCGACGAACTCCAGCCGAAGAGATGGGCGCATGCTCAGTTCCCACGTGAGTCCGAGAGCGCCCCCTGGTGGACTTTGCCCAAAGTGCCTCGATTGCAAGGAAAACGCAATCAAGAAAATGGAGATTGCTATCTAGTGCTGTATATACACCTGCACTTGTCAAATTCTTGGCTCTGGGTGCCTAAGAATAATTGGAAAGACGCAGTGAGGGGCTGCTGATGACAAAGGACATGAATCTGATGAAAAAGAAAACCAATTCCATAATGGGGAAAAGCTGAAACTTGTGGAAGTTCCAGAAATTTTACCTCACAATGAGGCTACTTGAGCCGTGATGATGGTGGTGGGAATGACATCTCATCTCTGACTAGAAAAAAAGGGGAACTGCAAAATGATGGAAACAGATTATGGAAAAGAGACTATAAAATTAAAATACCATGAGGGGGCAAAAAGAAGAGGAAAAATGTTTTATTTAGGAGTTGAATCCAAAGCACCCACAGGAAATACGAATAGGAACCTTAAGACCTTTCTAGAATTTAAGGCAAGGATAGGATATCTCCAGCTCATGAATAAAAAGAAAAGTACAATTGGTGTCTAATTTTGGACGACTGCTACTCTGATTTCCATTTCTCTAAAGAAAAATTGAACAATAACTGGCAGAAAACGGGAATTGGTGCCTTTTCTCCATTTTGACATAGAATCATTCATGGCTTGTTAGTTGTGAAGCTGACCCGTCGCAACCCGATGGACAACGTTCCTCCAAGCCTTCCTGTCCTCTACCATCCTCTGGAGTCCATTTAAGCTCACACCAACTGCTTCATTGACTGCATCCAGCCACCTCATTCTCTGTCATCCCCTTTTGCCCTCCATCGTTCCCAGCATTAGGCTCTTCTCCAGTGAGTCCTTCCTTCTCATTAGGTAGCCAAAGTATTTGAGTTTCATCTTCAGGTTCTGGCCTTCAAAAAAGCATGCAGGGCTGATCTCTAGGACTGGCTGGTTGGATCGCCTTGCAGTCCAAGGGACTTGCAGGAGTCTTCTCCAGCACCAGAGTTCAAAGGCTTCAATTCTTTGGCACTCAGCCTTTCTTATGGTCCAACTTTCACAGCCATACATTGCAACTGGGAAAACCATAGCCTTGAATATACACACTTTTGTTGGCAGGGTGATGTCTCTGCTTTTTAGCATGCTGTTTAGATATGCCATAGCTTTCCTCCCCAGGAGGAAAGGCTTCATAAGGCTTTTCCTACATTTTGACATGGAATCATTCATAGGTACTATTTGAATAAACAGCTTCAACCCAGCAGGAGCCTCTTAAGAAATTTTTTCCCCACCCAAATGCTTACCCCCAACTTTTGCCAATAAGCAATTGTTAGGGCTTTTCTCATTATGGTAGATACAAACACAGCATCCCCCCCCCCAGACAAAAACTTTTATTAGACGCACAAAAATGTCCACTCCTTTCTTGTAAATTTAATGCTAACCGCGCCTTGCTTATTTTACTCTCTTCCTATTACCCACAGGTTAGCAACTATTTCTATCTTACTTTATATATCTATTTCTATCTCTGTTTACATATGAAAACCCTTTTTCCTCCTCTAGATTTGTCAAAGGTACTTTTTCAAAAGGGAACTGGACTTTCTAGTTTCTTGAAGATGTTTCGCTTACTCAAGAAGCATCTTCGGTACTAAAGATGCTTCTTCACAACAAGAGATGCTTCTTGGATGTGAAGCTAAAGCTTTTCAAGAAAGTCCACTTGCCTTTTGGAAAAACCGTGACCTATGTGAATGTGAATCTCCACAGGTATTTGTCAAGGGGCTTTACTCTCCCCTCCTCAATCATAATATTCTATTACTGGAGCTGCTGTGAGGAATTTTGCACCCTGACTGGCTGCATGAAGCCCACCACCTTTGATCTTCACACTGGAAGGTCTCATTCTTTTCTTGAGATTTGTCCAACTTTCCCCATCTCTACAAAAACCTCCGATGAAGGAGGGACTGCAACTGTTGTGTACAGAACCATTGATATACATTTTCATTTTCATTAAACGTAGAGATTTTCTTAGCCCTCACAACAGAAAGGCAAAATATGGTCCTAATGCTTGGAAAGTCTTTTGCACATGCATTTCAGGGGCTTCTAGTCATTCTGGTTCCTTTTTGTGAGAGAAGAATTCTTTGTCATAAAATTTTCTTCAATTTGAATTAGAATCTATGATTATTCTTTCACAACATGAGAGACAAAAAAGTCCCTTCTTCTGCATTCATACTGGTTCATTTGGTCTGTTTTACAAAGTGGACTGAAAGAGTTTACTGTGTATTTTTTCGTATTCTCACACTCCAGAAGTTCCCATTCTCATTTCTGCTATAGAGGATAAAAGTTTTTAAAACGTCGTCTTGAAGAGATGCATCAGGGAGATGCATCTCCTTCTGCTTCTTGGGGAAGAAATTTCTATTAAATAAATTCCTGATCACATCCCTCTTAGAACAATTATTTTCCAGCTCAATACTGGAATACATTCTTGTCCCTTGTCCAAACTGAATACACCATGCTGGTGATTATAAATCCAGTGGATTTTTTTGTAGCATTAAATATAGTTTATATATTGATGTTACACGGTCAACGGATGTTTCCTTTCTGAATATTCGTTTAATTTAGCACAATATCCGAAGATGTTTACAATTTCAACATCTTGCAATTCATTATAACTTAAAGTGTTAAACTATTCTATTCATAAGGTATCTTCTTTAGCATCACTCATACTTTGGTAATTCATACTTAACTGTAACTTCTGCAAGTCTTTCCTGATTTATGCCTTTCCCATAGAATGCCTGGAATTACATTTTAGTAGCTAACCCTAGACTTCATTTCAAAAATTAATTTTTTCTTGAGGATTTGGGCTTTCCTTATGATCCAATCGAAATTGGGAAAAAAATGAAAAAGATGCTCTATTATTTATGTGAAATGCCATTACTGATTTTCAAATGAAAGTAGCTACAAAAATCCACTGTTCATTATTACAATTATTACTCTTGGGCTTCAAGTTGTGAAGATAAGACTCAAAAAAAACCTGTCCTAATTCAGTAAATGTATACATTTCAACAATTAAAATCTGAAATTTTAAGATTCTCACCCAAATTTATTTCGATAGGGAAATACCACCGTTGGTCCTCGTAAACCTTTTTTCTGATTTCACAGATTTATATGGCATCTACATTGTGTGGGTTCTTTTATGGTAGTTAAGATAACTGTTCATAATAAAACCTTTTCCACACAGCATACATTTATAAGGCTTCTCCCCTGTGTGGATCCTTTTATGGTGATTAAGATAACGGTTCGTAGAAAAACTCTTTCCGCATTCCATGCATTTATAAGGCTTCTCCCCTGTGTGGCTATTTTTATGGGAATTAAGATTACTAGACTCCGTAAAGCATTTCCCACATTCCATACATTTATATGACTTCTCCCCGGTATGGATCCTACTATGGTAAGTAAGTTGACAGTTCTTAATAAAGCTCTTTCCACAGTCCATGCATTTATATGGCTTGTCCCCTGTATGGATCCTACTATGGTAAATAAGTTCACAGTTCTTAATAAAGCTCTTTCCACACTCCATGCATTTATGTGGCTTCTCCCCTGTGTGGGTCATTTTATGGAAAACAAGGTCACTGCTGCTAGGGAAGCTCTTTCCACATTCCATACATTTATAGGGCTTCTCTCCTGTGTGGATTCTTTTATGAAGATTAAGAGAAGAACTTTGAGAGAAGCTCTTTCCACACTTTGTGCACTTATATGGCTTCTCCCCTGTATGGACCGAGTAATGGGAAGTAAGAGAATTACTATGAGAGAAGGTCTTTCCACACTCCATGCATTTATAGGGCTTCTCTCCTGTATGGATCCGTTTATGACGTGTAAGTTTACTGTTTTCAATAAAACCTTTACCACACTCAGTGCATTTATATATCTTCTCTGCTTTGTGGATCCTTTTATGGGAAGCAAGACTGTTCCTCCAACTAAAGCTCTTTCCACACTCCGTGCATTTATATGGCTTCTCTGTTGTGTGGATCCGGGAATGTGAAGTAAGAGAAGTACTATAAGGGAAGCTCTTTCCACACTCCATGCATTTATAGGGTTTCTCTCCTGTGTGGATCCTCTTATGACATTTCAGGTAACTTTTCCTACTAAAGCTCTTTCCACACTGCATGCACTTATGTGGCTGTTCTCCTATGTCGGTTCTTTTTTGAGATGTACAGGACCCATTTTTATGAGGAAGAGACTGCGTCCATTTGTAATTTTTTCCATTGTCTCTACATATATAATCTTCTCCATTGGTTTGGGTTTGATAGTATTGATTTACATCTAATTTATTTATGAATAGTTTTGTACATTTTCCAATATATTTCGTTTTTAGTTGTCCTTGTTCGGTCACAGAGGCTTTCGCTGAGGCATGAACAGAAGATGAGCTTTCCTGATTGCAATTATTTGACTGGTTTCTCTCATGGCTTTCTACTTCTATTAGAATTGTAGGGTTCTTCATATTGTATCCACGACTGATCATTTCGAATAGTTCTCTGGAATCTTCATCTTCCTCCCCATTATTACCTTCACAAGAAAAGAAAAATGCAAATAATGTTAGGGACAAAGAGCAAAGCAGAGGAAGACTGAATATAATGAAAAACAAACAGCTTCAATCTTAGATGCAGAGTTTTGGAAGATACATTTACGTTTGTATGGCAAGAGAAAAACCATGGATTAAATATCAAATTCTCCAAATGGAAAGATTTGGTTTCCCAATTTGAAATTGGACTTTGTATTCTGCTGTGCGGATTGTATAAGAAGTGAGAGTTGCTCAGATATACAAAAGTATGAAGGCTATTGCTTAACTCATTGTAAGCCGCCCTGAGTCTCCGGAGAAGGGCGGCATATAAATAGAACCAATGAATGAATGAATGAATGAATGAATGAATGAATGAATGAATAGAGAATTTTAGAAGTAGGAAGGCATGACAGTAGTTTGGATGTCATGGATGTTTGTGATTCAATAAATTTAATCAATCTAGATTTCAAAACCATAATGTTACAAATGCCACATTGAGAATATGAGGCAGATATAAAGTCAGGCTGTGCCCCAAAACATCCTAATGGCTTTCAGCAGAAAAAAAGTTGCAAGGAAAGACAATGGATAACATGTACAGAGGCATTAGAACTTGAGCTGTGAAAATACCAAATGAAGTCAAGAATGGAAAAACCATATAGTTCTCATCAGCCATAAAATTTACTTCCTATCCCTACCGGCTCAATGATGTGGTGTACGGCTGCATCTGGGTGCGCACCATTATCTGCATGCGCAGAGCCATTTGCACATGCGCAGATAGTCAAAACTGGGACGTGAAGACGTCCCGGTTTCAGGGTGGTGGTGGTGGAGCCTTCCGCAACCAGCACTACCAGCTCTTCAAACTATCCGCCGCCGGCACTACCAGCTTCCGTGAGCCGGATGGAGCTGGCAGCATTTCACCCCTGGTTCTCATATATTGTTCAACAACATAAAGTAGAAATTGAATCTCAGTTGTGTAGAAAAGTTGAATATGTAATTGCTAAAACCTCTACATATAAAAAGGAATATGAAAATCATATGAAAAATATCAAAAGTGTATAAATGTACCTCAAACTATTATTGGAAATGTGGACAAGATAAAGGTTTTGTAATGCTTTGGTGGCCTTGTAAAAAAGGCATTCAGAGATACAGAGAACTTTAAAGATTAATATCCAACTAAAATCAGAACACTTTATTTTGGCACTAATCTACAGTCATAGAAGATCGTTTCTGAGTATGATATGAATATGAGATATTACAAACAAAAAACTAGAAGGGCTGTACGATAATTAGAATGGTAGCATGGTTGAAGATGATGATAGAATTCTCAATGATAAAGGAGGAAACAATGATGTAATCTTGAAAGAGGGGGGAAATATAACTATTATTTTGTCTTTTCTCTTTTTTTAATTGTATCATACTTTTTTCTTATGCATTAAATCACATTACCGTATCTTCTTTATTTCATTTTCAAAATTTGTAGCTTTTATTCTGATAAATAATTCCTGTATATTCTCACCCAAAGAGGCCACGTTCCTGTGATTTTCCAGCATGACTTCCCGATGCAGTGCTTTTTGGTCAGCATCCAGCTGAGACCACTCCTCTTCGGAGAAATACACAGCCACCTCCTTAAAGGACACGAGAGCTTCCTGAATGAGAAGGAAACAGAAGAAAAATCAGCAGTGAAAGGAAGCAATCCCACTCTTTGTCTGGGTCTGTCTGTCTGTCTATCCCCATGCATCAACAAGACTTTCAGCATCTGTAGAGAATCAACTGGTATGGGCTATGGAAATCCCACCTATCACAACCCACCCAGTGGTTGTAGAAGAAAATGTGTTATCCCTCTCTTACTTTTGGAGCTTCAACCAGAATTTCAGCACCACCATAAAAAGGAGTCAAATTCATTTTGTCCTTCCCTGTGAGGGAGACAGAAATTTTAAATGGATAATTAATAAAATTGCAAGAGGCATTCTACAGAAGAGATACAGAAGGTAAGACAGCTGGAATCTCTCTTGGGAATGGGTGGACTTTTGATTACCATCTGAGATGTCCTGACTTGCGGATTCATGATAGACCCCCCTGGAAAACAGCTCCCGAGGGGGATTTGATGGATTCCTCTTTCTCATAGGTTCTCTGTTCTGCAGAGTGAAGGACTTGAAACAGAGGGCAGGAGAAAAGAAAAATACATCACATAACATGAAGTGGATTTTTGTTCTCAAAACACAACTTCAATGCCCCGATATCCATCAATGAGCCTAGAATGTGCAAAAAAGGAACGGCTGTCTCCAGTCTATGCTCTAGAATGGATAATGGAACAATGTCCTGCAAGAACTACCCTGTTTCCCCCAAAATAAGACATCCCCTGATAATAAGCCCAATCATGCTATTGAGTGCATGGCAATAAGGCCAAGCACTTATTTCAGGGTTCAGGGTCTTATTTTTTTGGAAACAAGGTAGTGGAACATCTTAAAATATTATGAAGACCAGAGAAGTATGGAAGGGAGGGGTGAGGAATTCAAACACATTCTTTATTCCCTTCTGACTTCCAAGATGAAAGTCTCTCACCTGCAATTCGACTTCCTCCTTCTGCTCCTCTGCCTGACTCAGGAGGAAGCCTTCTGCCAGGGCCACCGCTTGGGAGCTGGTCTCTGCTCCACACTCCCGCACCCAGCTCTTCATCGGCAGGGGCAGAAGGGCCAGGAGCTGCTCCAGAACAACCAGGTCCAACATTTGGGTTTTAGTGTGCTTTTCTAACCTCAGCCATTGACTATAAATGTTGTGGAGTCGGCTGCAAAGTCCTCGGGGACCTTCAGCCTCCTGGTATTGGATGTTTCTGAAGTTGCATGGCTGAATCTCTGAAGGGGTAATGGTTTCCTTTTCCACGATCTTTTGCCCAGTTCTTGCCCAGATCTTCTCATAGCTGCCAGTCTGAACCGCTGGGAGGCCTTTTCCAGTTTCCTCATTTGCTAACGTTTTTTTCTGCATTCTTTCTCTGTCCTATAAGGAAATTCCAGATAGTTCTGAGGAATCTCCAAACACTTTTCAATTCATAGGACTATTCCTGAAGTGGCAGGAGTGATCACAAAAGCTATCCAGGATCTTCGCCCAAGAATTCACTTGTTGTTGTTAGGAAAATTGTTGTGATGACTCTAGTTTCTGCATCTGAGATGGAAAAGGAAATAAAATCAAAGAATGAGAAGGTCACGGACGTAAGCACTGAACAACATTCATTCTTATTAATGAGAAGCTGATAATGTATTGTAATGGTATTGAGCAGATGGATCCTGTGGGTATTTGTGTGTCTGTGTGTCCATCAAATGTGGTGCAAAATATGCTTTACAGGAATATAAAACAAATGTTTTATATTTGGAGGATTTTCTTTTCTTTTTTTTTCGCCCAAAGGATAAACTAATTTTTTTTAAAAAAAATAAAGTTTAGTTAGATTAGGTTAGGTTGGGATAGGATAGGATAATTTATTGTCATTTTGAATGTACACTAATCAGCATACATTAAAAGGTAATTCCATTGCAAACAGCTCTCACATCTCCAATATACAATATTTAAACATAACAAACTAAATACATAAATACATAATTATGCATATACTCACATATATAGCAAAAGGTCTAGTTCGGATTTGTGCATGTACATGGCTAGAAAAATAAATCTGTTTACCTGGTAAGGCATGGGGAACAAAGCTCTTACAGAATCTAATAGTCCTTTGAGAAGTACCTCAAAACCTCCTCCAGAACAGAAACAGAAACAGACTGGAAAGTGGAGGTGTGGGGTCTCATAGAGAGGGACTCCTCCGGGTGCCATCAGCCAAACAGTGTCAACTGCCGGCCCCTAGGGGGAGAGCCTTCTCTGTGGGGGCACCTACCATCTGGAATGAGCTCCCCCGGAGATACGGAGGATCCCGGATCTGCGCTCCTTCCGCCGTGCTGTGAAGACCTTTTTATTCCATCAGGCGGGCTTGGCCTAATTTCTTCCCTTTTTAAATATGTAAATTTTAATCTGTTTTTAAATTATTGGGGTGTTTTAATCTGTCTGGGCCAAAATGATTTAATTTGATTTTATCTGGTTTTTAAATTTTTTGTATTTATGTATTTTATTGTTGGCTGTTCACTGCCCTGAGTCCTTCGGGAGTAGGGCGGTATACAAATCAAATAAACCTAAACCTAAACCTAAACCTAACAACACTTTGAGCTCCAAACACATTGCGCTTATAAGCAGTGCCCTGAATAACAGGAAGCAAGCATCCTATAATCTTCTCGGCTGTCCTTACCACTCTCTGTATGAACTTTCTATCCAGATTTACCCTACACTTAGGGCTCGTACAAGATGCCAAAATTAAAGGAGCTTAAGAAACTGGAATGGAATACAGAATGTTTACATGTGTTTCTTGTGCTTCCTATCGAGGCATTTAGGCATTAGACATTCATTAAGGATGTTCCTCACTCTTGTCTTTAAATTGGTATGTTTGTAAGTAACTGGAGCCATGGAGAAGACATAAGGAGGAAATTCCAAAAATGGTTTAATATGCCAATAATATCTTTTGTCAGGGGTCTCAGGGAGGAAAAGGAAGAAGACCCCTAATATTGAATAATACTAAGTGAAATGATCCTGGGAAGGAACAGCTTTCTAAGGATGCCATGAATTCACATCAAATGAAATTGCTCACTTTCTGTTTTTCAGGGTTTGCTTTTGGGGAACAAAGTCATACTATAACACGAAGGCTGGTTCACACAATTTGCCCTAACCCCAAATTGGATAGCCAACCGTATAGGCAGTTCACATGAAACACAAGGCTTGAAAAGATACCCCTTAAAATGTTCAGCCACCCCCTTGGGGCTCCCTATGTGGGAGCTTTATTACCAAGCTTCAACCCTGGTTTGAATAAAAGATTGGGTGATTTCTTGAAAGTGCATTTTGGCAATTGAAGGATATGATTCGCAGCGGGGATGGCATTCCTTCTTGTGGTCTCAGAAAGACAAACAATCCAAACATTTTACTAATCATTATATTAGAGGAATTTTATTAAGGGTTTGGGAAACGTTGTAGAAACAAGGTTATACACCGATTCCTAAGTGGGTGTCTCCATTAGCGGCAGTGACCCTTCCGACTGTGCACAATATAAAGAGGAACTGGGCTTATGGTGACTTGTTGGATGAAGTCGGGAGACTTAGACCTAGAGCCGATCTCCAAACTAGAGGATTAGACATAGACTGGTGGTCCTATGCGAAAATTCAAACTAGATTCGCTAGGGATAAACAGGAACATGGTATTTCCCTTCATTTACAAACGTTTGACAAGCTTTTCCTAGGTGGCCGAAGGAAATTTATTTCCAACGTTTACAATCTTCTTCTGTCCAATTTTATGGCGGATGAGATTGTAAAGGACACGATGATTGCCTGGGGGAGAAATATTGGAACAACAATTCAGCTTGATGCATGGCAAAATGTATGGAACAAAACTATGAAACTGACCCTTTCTTCCCCGTTCAAAGAAAACTTTTATAAAATGATCTACCGTTGGTACCTCCCCCCGCCAGAATCGCTAAGATGTTCCCAGGATCTTCTGATAGATGTTGGAAATGTGGGTCGGCCAAGGTACTTTCTTCCATCAGTGGTGGAGTTGTCCATCAGCTAGACGCTACTGGGGGAAAATACAGCAGTGGCTGTTGGAAATAACAGGTGTGAGCTTCCCTCTTCACCCAGACAGCTACTTACTCGGAATAAGACCGGACTACGTCGATAAGAAGGATTGGTATATATTTGTCCATGTCTCAACAGTGGAGAGAATGGCATTTGCTCAACTGTGGAAAGATGCAGATACGCCCCCTGACCATCTGATAATAAACAAGATTCTTCGATGTGCTGAGATGGACAGGCTAACATATATCTTAAAAGACAAGAAAGATTCAGCATATAATAGAAGTTGGGACAGATGTTTTGTTTGGCTCAAAAGAAGGTTAAACTTAGAAGGGTGATAAGATTGTCTAATTAGATTAACTAGATATTTACTAGGCTTTATATCTCTTTAAAATTTTGATAAAAACAGACCAATTGTTTTGTAGTTAGCAAAAAGAACTTGATTGCATTGAAATGTTTGGCTAGGATGATATTAGACTTCAAGGCTGCCTCCAGTCTCCCAATAAATGGGGAGAAACGCTCCCTCCCCTTCTGGGGACCCCCATTTATCTCCTTTGCTCCCCCCCCAACTCCATGGAACCTGCATGGGAAAGGGTGGCAGGGGAACATGGGACCACAGACTCCGACCCTGCAGGAAGACTTGATCCCTCTCCACTCACCCCTCCAGCGTGGGGCCCCTTTGCACGGGCAGAGCTGCCACTCGGGAGTCTCGTTGGGATCGGCGTCTCCCCAAAAGCTTCCCCGCAGCCTCTGCGCCTCCAGCAAAGGCCCCGCCTCCCACTTTTAGTGGGGCTGTGTGGGAGGGGGAGCAGGAAGGACAGATGCACCTCTCCAGATGAATTTAGGGGAAGAGCCCGGCGCCTGCTCACTTCCCTCCTTAATATGAGAGCACCTCCTGGTGGAAGCTGCGCAATGTGCCAGGATTCTATGAAAGGGCGGAAAAAAGGAGAGTATCTGTTGGGGAGGAAGGTGGGGAGGAGGGGAAGGGACGATGGGCATGTGAGGAGGAGGAAAGGCTCCCTGTCGCAGAAAAGCATCAGCGTCTTCAGCGGTGGAAGCTTCTCCATCTTCCTCTCCAGGAACCGTCTGTGGAGATGGAGAAAAATATCTCTGGAGGATTTGAACTCACTTCCCTCAAGAACAGCCGCCCCGAAAGCTCAACAGTGATTGGAGGAGGCCGCAAAAGGGAATGGTGGGACTCCTTGTCTAGTTTGGAAATAAACAATCACCAGCCAAAACCGCCAAGAGAAAACGATGGTAATTTTATTCACTGCTTTGCAGTGGGAGGACGACATCGCACAGGCTGTTCTGACCTAGGCTTCCTCAGACAGTAAAAAGCACAGGATTAGTCCCAAAAAGCCTCTTTTCATTTCATCGGCTGTGAATTATGTTCATTCACATCCCATAATGAGTCACAAATAGTTTGTAAAGAATCCGACTTCGGGATAAGGTGGATAAGCACCCACATTTATCTCTCTTGACACGCTGCCAAGATCTAATTGGCAATTAACTTTGCAAGGCCACACATAGCACAGAGTCAAAACGGAGCTTCAGAATTTAAACCAGGGGTAAAATCTACTTACCTTCCCTAACGGTTCGGAAGCGTCACGTGTGTGCTTGGATCCTCTGTGCCTGTGCAAACCCTTCTGTGCTTGTGCAGAGGGTAAAAAAAAGGTTACTTCCTGGGTACAACCAGGAACTAACAACAAACGGGCGGGTGGGCAGAGCCTCACGCTGCTGTCGCTACCGCTTCTCCGAACCATCCACCACCATCACTACCAGTTTGACTGAACCAGTCTGAACCGGTAGCATTTCACCCGATTTAAACCGACCAGAACGAACAAAGTTGCTTCCTGCAAAAGCTCACGTGCCTTTGCTCCTCCTTTATGTCTTATGGGAGAGGCCAATCATCTCCAAGCCCTATTCCAGAGTCATCCATTTTGTCTTAACTATTCTTGTCTTCTGGCAGCTCTGTGCATGCGCACACTCTGCATCACTGATGTCCGACTCTGGAGGCTCCGGAGGCAGCCCATGACTCCCAGATAGCCCTGGCCCCCTCTCTGCCTACAACACAAAGCCGGACCATAACACAGGCAGGTACAGCAGACACACCCTAAATCATCAATACATTTACCATATATTCTCTAGTTACAAATTTGCCTCCCACCTTTTGCTCATTGGAATAGTAATTATGTCACAACGTATCCAATTCATCTAAAATGAATACATTATCTCCGCCCCTGATTACATCTCCCACAACTCATAATTCTATCCTCCCCCTCTGCCCTTATTTACAAATTTCCTTTTATGGTCTTAAGTTCCTAGGGGTTGTCTCTAAAGCAGGGGTGTCAAACTCAAGGCCAGCAGGGTGATTACACCTGGTCCATGGGGTGGCCTGGAAATATCAAAGGACTGGCCCAAGGTGCCTCTGCCAGCCAAAATTCTGCTGGAGGCTAGGAAAATGCTGCTGGAGGCCAGGGAGGCCAAAAGCGGGTTTCAGGGGGTTTTTTACACCTCCCTGGCCTCCAGCAGCATTCTCCTGGGCAAAAATGGGCTGTGCGGAGGCCCCCTGAAGGTGCCTGCATGGCCTGTTTTTGGCCTCCCTGGCCTCCAGCAGTACTCTCTTGACCAAAACCAGGTCACGTGGAGGTGACCATGAGGCGCCTGGGTGGCCCCTTTTTGGCCTCCGCAGCCTCCAGCAACACTCACCCGACCTCCAGCAGCATTCTGCTAGGCAAAAACGGGCCCCGCAGGACCTATGCACGGCCCATTTTCGGCCAGCAGAGTACTGCAGGAGGACTGGATAGGATGGGATTATAGTTATGTGGCCCTCGGAAGTGCCTGATCTAGATAGAAAACAAGCAACATCCCAGGGGTGAAATGTAAAATTTGTTATTACCAGTTTTTTGGGCGTGGCTTGGTGGTGGTAATGTGACTGGGTGGACGTGGCCAACTTTTTTTTTTTAACTTTTCAAAGCATTTTTTCTAATGTTTTGAAAAGCCTCTGCCGATCAGGAAACTCAGCTGAGATCGTCAGAGACTTTTCAAAGCATATTTTTTACCACCTCTTCGGCCAAGAGGTTGCAGAAAAAAAATGCTTTGAAAAGCCTCTGACTATCCCAGCTGAGCCGCGCGATCATCAGAGGCTTTTTTTTTTTACTTTTAAAAGCATTTTTTCGTGGGAAGAGGTAGTAGAAAAAATGCTTTAAAAGTAAAAAAAAAAAAAAGCTGGGCCTCAGGATCTGATGATCCTGCGGCTCATCTGGGCATGGTGGGGGAGGGGGGTGCAGGGATTTTTGCTACTGGTTCTCCGAACCACCCGCTGCCATTGCTACCGGATCGGGCAATCCGGTCCAAACCAAGAGCATTTCACCCCTGCAACATCCTGTTAATACTACAGTTTAATGCCAGATTTTATATACTGTAGGTGCATTTAATTCACAATCAACAATCTATAATTGACAGCCATTTCTATTAACTATCCTGAAAATTTACCTCTGCTGTTAGATTTTTTAGATGTTTTAAGTCATTTTCGTCCAGTCTCCAACCTCCACTTTTTAGCAAAGGTTATTGAGAATGTGGTGGCGCGTCAGCTCCCGCTGGTCCTGGATGAACTGGATTACCTCGACCCGTACCAATCGGGTTTCAGGCCTGGGTACAGCACGGAGACGGCATTGGTTGCGCTGGTGGATGATCTCTGGAAGGCTCGGGACAGAGGTTATTCCTCTGTTCTGGTCCTATTGGATCTTTCGGCAGCATTTGATACTGTCGATATCTTGCTGCGTCGCCTCGAGGAGCTGGGAGTGGGAGGCACTGTTTTATGGTGGTTCTCCTCCTACCTCTCGGGTCAAACGCAAGCGGTGTTGGCAGGGGGGCAGAGATCGACCTTGAGGCCCCTCACTTGTGGGGTGCCCCAGGGATCGGTTCTCTCGCCCCTCCTGTTCAACATTTATATGAAACCGCTAGGGGAGATCATCCGTGGTTTTGGGGTGAGGTATCATCAGTACACTGATGATACTCAGCTCTTCATATCCACCCCAAACCAACCCAGTGATGCCCTTGACATGATGGCCCGGTGCCTGGAAATGGTATGGGTCTGGATGGGTAGGAACAGGGGCCCCCAGGGGTAGAGCCTTCTCTGTGGGTGCGCCCACCCTCTGGAATCAACTCCCTTTGGAGGTCCGTTTGGCGCCTGACCTTCGCACCTTCCACCGTGATTAAAAACTTGGCTTTTCAAATTCCTCGACTTGGACTGATGGGGTTTTAAGGGTTAAATTTTAAATTTTTTAAATTTTAGATTTTAACTTTGTATTGTGGCTTGTGTTTTATTATTTTTATTATTATTGTGAGTCGTCCTGAGTTCATTGGGAGATAGGGCGGCATTTAAGCCAAATAAAATAAATAAATAAAAATAAAATAAACCTTATTTATGCTAATGTATTTCTCTGCCTGGAAAAGCAATGTACTATTAAACAGTGGGGTATTAATTTAGAAATAAAAAGTTTAGTGGAATATGAAGAATAAGTAATAAATATTTGCCAGTAATATCTGGTAGAAGAGATAAGAAAATGGTTATAGTAAAGAACTGTGGAAAGAAAGAAGGGGAAAAAATGCATATTGAGCCTGTGTCAAACACCCAGGATGGCCACGCCCACCCCCAGCCACTGGCCCTCCGAGACTTCCTCAGCCTAGCTCGTGAGATTAGAAATGTATACAATTTAGTTTCTTCACAGGCCAGCATATCTTATTACAATTCTGTAAAAATAATAGGTTCTGTTCCCCACAGGCCAAATCGTGTCAGAAATGGCCAGCCAGGCAGAAGACGAGGACCAGGCGGCTCTCTGAGAAATACATTTTGTATTTTATGGTTCTTGCAAACTCCTGCCTGAAAGGGAGGAAGATGGAGCAGGGAAGCCACAATCAGGAAAATGGGAGATTTTTAACCTTCTTTTTGTTCTCTGGTTCTGTATATACACTTGCACTTGTCAAATTCTTGGCTCTGGGTGAAGCCAAGAATTATCAGAAAGATCAAGTTGCTGCTTGTGAGAAAGGAAATAATGCTGAGGGGAAAAAAAAAACCAGAAAAAGAAAAAGAAAATGGGGAAAATGTTGAAACTGGTAGATGTTCCAAGAATGTTATCTCAGGAGCCTCCTCGGAGGACAAATGAAGAGGGGGGAAAAGGCATTTCATCTGTCACTGGAAAAAAAGGGGGAACTACAAAATGATGGAGATTATGGAAAAGAGAATATAAAATTAAAATACCATTCATTTAGCTGTAACTTCTGTAAGGCATTGCCTATTTATGCTTTTCCCACAGTATGCCTAGAATTACATTTTAGCATCTAAGCCTATGCTTCCTGTCAAAAATTAAAATTTTCTTGGTGTGGGAAACAAAAATATAGCCTTTTGATTTAATATATCCTAGACCTAGGTGGACAGTGACAGGCGCCAAGTAAGAATTATGAACCAAAGTCTTCAGCTAGGATGATTTCATAATGTAAAAGAACTAGTTGTAATCTGCCAAGCAGCAGCTAAAAGCGAAATAACACTCATGCATCATCACAAAATCTCCAGAACCGTAAAGTCTACAAACTTGAAATTTGCCACGTATGTTCCTCTTGGCTTCTACATGCTCACTAAGAAAGGATTTTTCAAAATGAACATCAGAGCATTAGTATTTCTTGTATTATTATTAATGCTCTGATGCTACTCCCTCTTCCCACCTGAAATCTGTTCCAAATGCAAAACACAAGCAGAGGAGTTTCAGTTTTAGTTTTACTTTCACAGCACCAAGCAGGGGATAGGATATGGGAGGTTTCTGTGGGGCAAGCCTGAGGGAGAGAAGGGAGATAGGATGGGGAGGCCTCTGTGGGGCAAGTCTGAAGGAGAGAAAGGGATAGGATGGGGAGGCTTCTGTGGGGCAAGGCTGAGAGTGAGAAGGGGAGAGGAGAGGCCAATCATAACTACTCGTTAATTTTCAAGCTGTGTCAATTTATCAAGTATGATCACATATTTTCATAGTTGAGCAGAGGTATTCAACTAATACATTTATAAGGCTTCTCCCCTGTGTGGATTCTTGCATGGGTCTTAAGATACGTCTTTGTGGAAAAACTCTTTCCACATTCCATGCATTTATAAGGCTTCTCCCCTGTGTGGATCCTTGCATGGATCTTAGGATGCGTCTTCGTTGAAAAACTCTTTCCACATTCCATGCATTTATAAGGATTCTCCCGTGTGGATCCTTGCATGGATCTTAGGATGCGTCTTCATTGAAAAACTCTATCCGCATTCCATGCATATATAAGGCATCTGCCCTGTGTGGATCCTTGCATGGGTCTTAAGATGCGTCTTCGTTGAAAAACTCTTTCCACATTCCATGCATTTATAAGGCTTCTCCCATATGTGGATCCTTTCATGGGTCTTAAGATACGTCTTCACGGAAAAACTCTTTCCACATTCCATGCATCTATAAGAATTCTCTCGTGTGGATCCTTGCATGGTTCTTAAGATACGTCTTCACGGAAAATCTCTTTCCACACTCCATGCATTGATGTGGCTTCTCCCCTGTGTGGATCCTTTCATGGGTCTTAAGATGCGTCTTCCTTGAAAAACTCTTTCCACATTCCATGCATTTATAAGGCTTCTCCCCTGTGTGGATCCTTTCATGGGTCTTAAGATGCGTCTTCCTTGAAAAACTCTTTCCACATTCCATACATTTATAAGGCTTCTCCCCCGTGTGGATCCTTGCATGTTTTTTAAGATACGTCTTCACAGAAAACCTCTTTCCACATTCCATGCATTTATAAGGCTTCTCCCCTGTGTGGATGCTTTCATGGGTCTTAAGATGCGTCTTTGCAGAAAAACTCTTTCCACATTCCATACATTTATAAGGATTCTCCCCTGCGTGGATACTTTCATGGGTCTTAAGATACGTCTTTGTGGAAAAACTCTTTCCACATTCCATGCATTTATAAGGATTCTCCCCTGTGTGGATCCTTGCATGTTTCTTAAGATATGTTTTCACGGAAAAACTCTTTCCACATTCCATGCATTTATAAGGCTTCTCCCCTGTGTGGATCATTTCATGAGTCTTAAGACGCGTCTTTGTTGAAAAACTCTTTCCACATTCCATGCATTTATAAGGCTTCTGCCCTGTGTGGATCCTTGCATGGGTCTTAAGATGCGTCTTCCTTGAAAAACTCTTTCCACATTCCATGCATTTATAAGGCTTCTCCCCTGTGTGGATCCTTTCATGGGTCTTAAGATACGTCTTTGCAGAAAAACTCTTTCCACATTCCATACATTTATAAGGATTCTCCCCTGTGTGGATTCTTTCATGGGTCTTAAGATACGTCTTCGTAGAAAAACTCTTTCCACATTCCATGCATTTATAAGGCTTCTGCCCTGTGTGGATCCTTGCATGGATCTTAAGATACGTCTTCATGGAAAAACTCTTTCCACATTCCATGCATTTATAAGTCTTCTCCCCTGAGTGGATCATTTCATGGGTCTTAAGACACATCTTTGCAGAAAAACTCTTTCCACATTCCATGCATTTATAAGGATTCTCCCCTGTGTGGATCCTTTCATGGGTCTTAAGATAAGTCTTCGTAGAAAAAATCTTTCCACATTCCATGCATTTATAAGGCTTCTCCCCTGTGTGGATCCTTGCATGGGTCTTAAGATACGTCTTCATAGAAAAACTCTTTCCACATTCCATGCATTTATAAGGCTTCTCCCCTGTGTGGATCCTTGCATGGGTCTTAAGATATATCTTCATGGAAAAACTCTTTCCACATTCCATGCATTTATAAGTCTTCTCCCCTGAGTGGCTCATTTCATGGGTCGTAAGACACGTCTTTGTAGAAAAACTCTTTCCACATTCTGTGCATTTATAAGGCCTCTCTCCTGTGTGGATCCTTTTATGAAAATTAAGAGAAGAACTGTGGAAGAAGCTCTTTCCACATTCTGCGCACTTATATGACTTCTCCCCTGTATGGATCCTATTATGGTAAATAAGTTCACAGTTCTTAATAAAGCTCTT